AAGTATTAGATTTTCACTAGAAAAACCAACAATGAGGCCAAGTTACACTAGCATTTCAAGATGAACATGAGTAATTCTTCATGTGCATGCTCTTACCTGTTAGAAATGAGGAACAAAGAAGGTCTTTTCAGCCACAGTAAGAGATTCAAGAGAAATTACTTAATAATTTTACCAGACTGAGTGCATAGTACCAAGGAAAGAGCACCAAAAACCGTGGTATTATGGCTTATTGAGCATAAACTCATCTTGTTATGTGTCTGAAAGCCAAGTTGGTGGGTTTATCTGTGAATTGAGGATGTTGTCATCTTTATATCTCTCAAGAAACAGTAACAGTACATCATTCTTCATTCCTGTAGACTGGCAGACTTGTTAATACATTAGTATTTTTAAAAGATATTAGGCACAACAATATGTTGCCTATACCTAGAGTGCCTAAGAAACATGGGTCATAGAATAGAATAATAGAATCTTATAAGTTGGAAAAAACTCTGCGATCATTGAGTTCAACTATATAGCCTAACACCACCAAGAAGAAACAATGCATTTTGCAACATTTGTCTGTGTTCACCAGTGTTTAAACATTTGTTAAGGTCATAATTTCTTTTGGACTTTCCGTTTTGCTTCAGTTTGATTTTTTAAAGAACCTCTTGATCTCCATGTTTGTGATAGGTCATTAGTGGATTCCAAACCATATTGTTACATCCATCAAAATTAATAGGAGTTTTCTGGGCTGTGGACTTTACAAAAGTGAATTAAGTGATTAAACTAGGAAGGGAGGAGTAATTTTGGAGATTTTAGGCCCAACCAGTGGAATCTGTCCTTTCACAGATGGAAGGAAAGAAAGCACCTCATGTGGTCTAGGGTTTCAACAAGTTGCAGGAAGTTCTTGATGTCAAACTTTAGTGTTCCCCTGCCTACTACATTTAAAGAAAGAAGTCCATCACCATATGGAACTTACTGGAAGAATACTGTTGATAGGGTAGTTGAGACTGATGAAGAAAAGGAGATTCCATTTGTCTGGAAGGAGGTAAACAGATCAAAATTGGGAGTTACAGAGTCCTGTGGACTGCCAGGTTCCAGAATGCCTGAACCTGGAAGCTTCCAAAGGATTCTCTCTCCAAGACAATGTTTGTCCTTTTGGTAGTTTTTCAGATCCAGTTTTTCAGACTGAATCTTCCATTTTGGTTGCCTTCTCTCTCATCAGTAGTAGAGATACCTAATGCTCTTTCTACACTAGTTATCTTTTATTACTTTTGCCTGGAGAGAGACTGTGACATTGCGTTATCAATAAAGAGATATTTATATTTATCCCTTTCTGATACTGACTTAAAGGCTCACTGCAAGTGATAATAGCAGCAAAACAGTCTGTGAGCAGTGCACAAGCACCCTGCTGTCTCCTTTTACTGCATGGTGAGCTATCAGTATAGTATTTGGGAAATCAGGGGTCCTAATATTCCTATATTTCCTTTTTAATTGACTATATATTGGTTAACTTGTGGATTAAGATCCACTGATTTTTTATTTTGATTATTAATCATTGTTTATTATCATTACCAGAAATACAAACTGTCTTTTTTGAAGTAAAATATTCAGACAAACTGAGAAAATGCAAGTTAATTCGCAAGGGCCAATCTATCAATTTCTTCACTTACTTGTGAAGCTGTATGCAATATATCTGATGTCTGTATAGACACACTTCTAGTTACTTTTTGAGCTAGTGAAAGATTATTGGAATGTACATTTGCAAATTAAAAGAATGCTGGAGTCATTCTCAGTTAGAAAAAAGTAGGTGAGCCCCAAATTTTATCATTACTGCAGTACATTTCATTTCATAAGTATTTTCTTAAGCAAAAATAAAAAGTGAGCTGCATTGGTGATGTAAAAACCTGTTGAATTTTGACAGTATTAATTTTAGAGATTCCCATAAAGCTGTGTCTGGGGGGTGCCTCAGAGATTAATTTCAGTAACACGCCATAGTAGAGTAGAGCAGTTGACTTTGTTTTGTTTGGCTGACCTTGCCATTGATGGCTTCTACTCAAGACATTTCTACATAATTAATTGGCAATAAACATTTAAGCTCATTCAGATTTAAATTCATCAAATATGGAATGTACAAACATTCATAGCAATTTATTAGGTGTATGTATAAAGTCGATATGGAATGGTAGAAGCTTATGGATTAATTTCAGCTCATATATGGTTATGAGAAAAATTGCCTTTCTTTTTAATAGTGTTGCATGGTTAGGATAAGATTATCAATTGTTCTGCACAGTCATTTCTACCTCTGCAGTCAGGAGGAATAGTGGCAAATTTGGAACCTCTTGGGTAGTTGAAGAGTTTTTCGATCACTGACCCTTAGCCACAGGTTTGCAACTTTCCATAGAATGGAATTTCTTCTGCAAAACTCTTTTTTGCAGAAGCTATAAGTAAAATAATGTTCATAAACTTTTTCCAGCATAGGGAAACTTGTTCACAGCAGTACTTCATTGTGTTAGCAACTGAGGGGTTTACCAGGCAAAATGATACACAAGGACACAGGAAAGACGGTGCTGGTGAAAGCAGCCTTTGCAGGCTGCTTCAATATGTCAACGCAGGTTTTTGGCTGCTGAAGATTTAGTGAAGGTGTTTTCTAAGAAAAAGATGTTAGTGTGGGAGAAGTGAGTTCTTAGTTTTCTGTTGCAAGTGGCTGTTTCGTTTTCTTCCCTTTTTTTCTTGTTTTGAGAAGCTCTTTCTGAGAAGAGAAAGATTTCTTCATTGTATTATGTTTAGTGCTGGGCATGATTCAGGAGATGAGTGTGGAAAAGCACATTTTATACACATAAATTAAATAGCACGGTTAATTTGCTAATTGTGCTGCCTTGCTACCTTGGCAAAAAGAATCATGTAAGAAGAATGGTGTGAATAAGAGTTATTCTTCAGCATTTTCAGCAAAATTGACTTTGATGTCTGTTTGATTTTGACTCATTCCACTACTTGGACTATATCAAGCAGGCTTCTAACATTGTGGTGCATCTCTACATTTTGCAGTACTCTGCAACAGAAACCACCTTTTCACTGTTACTGTTCCTATTATAAGAGTATTTTTTAAATAGTAAATCTTAAGCATATGGTATAGCAGGTCAGACTTCTGTAAATATATGTATTTCAGCATTTCTATACTCTTTATACTTTACTATCTTTTTTATTTTTTGAAAAATACTTTATACCAGAACATTGATTTACATAAATAAAGACCTGTGATTTCTTCCGTTTTATTAGAATGTTCTTTTTTTTTTTTAGATCATGGTGTGCTTTTCTTGGCTATGTTATATAAAATGTTCTTTTTCATTCTATTTAAGTGCATGTAAAAACATGAACTGAAGCTTATGAAGGCAAACAGCTGTGAAACTAAGTTTTCATTTCAAAATTATATGTATCTTTATTAGATTATAAACAAGTAATAAATGGAGCTTTTTATTCTGGTAGGTTGAGTAAGCTTGTTCTGACAGATTAAATGTATTGATTTGATGGGTTTTGATGTTTGGATGTTTCTTTTTTTTTTTTTTTTTTTAATTACATTCTTGTAATTTATATGGAAAATAAACATTCTGACTTTTCAAGTGTATTTTGCCTCTAGAGGCCACATTTCAAAGAGGCTATGAGCATAGATGGGTTTGAAGAATAAGGTTCAGGTTTAGGATAAGAATAAACAGAAAATTTAATGATTTCTTGTGCTTGTACTGTAAAGTACTGTACAGTAAAATGCAAGACATTAAAATAGAGTAAATAGTCTGAATATTTAGCAGGGCTTGTCCATGGAACAAACAACTTTTCTTCCAACTGAAAAAAATCACTTGTCAGTGCTAAATTAGTTTGGGGCAACTCTATTTTCTTATTATTTTTAAGATAGTTTAATTTTAATCCATACCACACATTAGCAAATGAATTTCTGTATGGAAAACTCAGTTTCTTGTCTTGCTGAATTTTTGCTTAAGAATAAAGTACTCACTTTTTGGTTTTGTCAGAATCTTGAGTGTTTTTCTTTTGAGCTTACAAATACCGTAATTGTTGGACTTCTGATTCTTCTTGGATAGACTTAGGCGTTTTTATGGCTATGAATTTTTTAATTGATGATTTTTTTCCCCTCAGCATAAAGCGCAAATTTCTCATTCCAAAATGCTGCTAATCCATTGCAGCTCTCTTCATCACTTCAGAAGTACCTTCATATGGTGCATTATATGGCATCTCTTTAGTTTCTGAACATTTCAATGTGGGGTTTTTTGGAATTAATTAGTACTAATGCTTTATAACATACCATGCGTATTTGTAACGAAGGGAGAATTATGAGAGGATGTACCTCGTATCATCACTTCATTTTCTACAGCTGATAGTAGATGCTGAATTTTTGTATGCAAATTTTACCTGTAATAATCGATGCTAGAAAACAGCTCCTTTCTGACTGCAGCCTTAATGAAAGGAAATTCTGAGAGTAAAATTAATCAGCAGCACAACCTGTGGCCTTTCTTAAGAGGCGTGTTAGTAATACGTTGTGCTGTGGCATTGTTATCTATCTCTGGTACTATATAACAAGAAATTTAAATATTATCTCTACTTTTTGAATATTTTATATTGAAATGAATGAATTCATTGTAGATAAAAAAAAAAAAAATAAGATAATGTTTTACTTACAAGGCAACGTTTTCTTTTGTGAGTCTTGTATCCTGTGTATTATGTGTTCAAAATAAATGCAATCCTACCCTGATTTAAAAAATAACTGACTTAAGTCATCCACTGTGCTCACAGGAGTTGTCCAGGAGTTACCTGGATGACTTTAAAGTGGGATTTTCTAAGATTTCAGAAGAATTACAAGGAGTTTGTTCAACTACTTTTCATTGTCGAAAGCCGTGTTTCTCTACATTATCTACTTTATTTTACATAGTTTGTGCAGGAACTGTAAAAGTAATCATGCTTTCTAATTGCTTTTCTTTTTTTTTTCTTTTTTTTTTTTTCCTTCTAACTAGAGTCTGTGTGTATTTACACCACCAGGAGCTAAAGAAGGACACCCACGACTCATTCCTGCAGGGCCCATTGCACATGGCACTACGGTATCTGCTTATGTAGCCAGATCCAGAAAAACGTTGTTAGTAGAAGATATTCTGGGGGTAAAAAGCTTTCTTTTTTTTAATTAGATATTGCAGCATGTTCTCAGAATGAATGTTTTGATGCTGAAATGTTTGAGATGAACATTTAAGGATAGAATTTGCATTTGTCCTGATACCAGGAACCTGACTTTGGATTAGCTGATGAAATAATTTTAAAGGCTTGGATTTTTTTTACTTTGGGTTTGGGTTATTTTACCAGTTTTTTGGTTGTCAGGTAAAGGATGTGATGGAACCACAGTCACGTGGAAAAAACAACCAATCAAAACTCCTGTCTTCTTGGTTTTGAAATATTAACCCCAAACAAGAAGACTTTCATACAGTCAAATTTGAAAATTTGATTTATTTTTTATACAGGGCTCACACTGACAAGAATGTCAGTCAGAATTCTGGTTATTAGGCAAGATTTTTATCTCTGTATACTCTAATGTAAAGCTAGAACACTGATAGAATCAGTAGATTTACATGAAAAGTGCACTAATGTAACTGATACCAAAATTCAAGCCTTTTTCTGTAACAGGGCTTGGAAATTCCTAAGGTGATATTCTAATAATTCTTGGCACTCTGTATGTCTGTCCTTTTTAATTTTTTTAAAAACACTTCATCTAGTTGCATCTATGCAATTTTATGATTAGTTTTTATTAGTATGATTAGTATGATTAGTTGGTTATGAGAACACCAAGGAAGTTTACATTCTCTTCTCTCTTCAGTGTTTCCCACCTTTTCAAGCTCTGTGCAGAATAACAATTTTTGGATACTGTGACCAATAAAAAAAGAAAAATTGGACATTGCTGTCTCTAGTTTTGAAATTATTTCTTAAAAATATATATGACCTTAGTTGGGCAAACCTGGGCTATTAACAAATACCAGATGCCTAATGTGAGTGCACTTAAACAGAGCCACAAAACCAAAAGGCAGAAACTGCTTTCCCTGTAGTAATAGTGAGTGCTTTCTACACACTCTGGACTATTAAGATTTGATGTGGTGGTATATTTTTCAGTTAGATGAAGGGTTTAAATTGTTACTGTTAATTTCCAATAATTAATATAATGATATCCTTACATACAAGAGTTCTGTGTTTTCATTTTACTATGTTTTTTATTCTTACTAAAATCGTCGGGTTAGTGAGGAGGAGTTTTTAACTTTTTTGTTGGTTTAGTATTTGTTATTCATTGACCAAACAGCAAGATTAATTTTGGTGAGATGGTTTGCCTTCATGTGATTTTAGGAGGTTCTCAACAGCAAAAGGGAAGCGTTTCCAGGTAGACTTGCCAGCCCTTTTCCTGTGGGAGGACAGAACTAAAAAGAGAAAGCAGAAGGCTCGTGTTTCAAAGTGCTTCCCACTCTCTTTTGTCTGTCATTTGTTCAAATTGATTGTCATCTTGGTAATTAAGGTAGAGATTACTTGCTGTTTTCTTTGAGAAGTGAGAGATTTTAATCAGCCTTGGAGGGGTGTCTGTCTTGCCTAAGCAGAACCTGCGGGGAACGACTGAAGTGCAAGGAAATGGGTCTTGCACACTTCGAACTGGGCAGTGACTGCCTTACTAACTGTAGCATCCAGGTGCTTTCTTAGGTCTGCTTGAGTTTTCCTACATGGGGAAGTGAAGCTTTAAACCCTTGAACATTCTCTATTAAGGGTTGAAAGTTATGTATTTGGGTCTTACCTAGCAGCTGGTAGGATTATTTTAACATTTGTTTCTGTGTCTTTTGCACCAGTTTATTCAGGATGTGTAAGAAAAGGAAGAAGAATGCTTACTCTCATGCGTAATTTTTTTGAATGCATTTTCCTCCTCAAGAGTTGGTTGAGGATAGTAACTGTATAACCTAAAGCCTTAGCCTCAAGTTTCAATTTTTGTTTTCTTGCAAGTGCTGTTGTCTGGTCTTTAATACTGAGATCTGAGCAGCCCACTTTGTGATTACAAATTCTTTGGGGTTTTTTGGAGGGAAGGATGATGGAGTAGAAGTGTTGCTTGTTTGGATTTTTATTTAATCTGGACTGGCATTAGTAATAAAGTGCTGGTTTTTCTGCCTGTGAGATTAGGGGAAAAAAGCATTATGTAAACAAACCTAAAGCTGTGTGTATTATCAGACATACTTACATCAGTAAGGTTATCTGCATATGTACATTAATGCTGAGACTTCAAAATTACATTATTTAGTAATGTCTTACTACCGTGTAGAAGTTATGCTGAAAGATGTGTTTTAGTGCCTTTTGTGATTTTCCTGCAGATTTGGTCAGAGAGGGGGAGGAAAACATCAGTATGCCTTAGCTGTTAATGTTTTATCAGACTTTACATTTTATCAGATTATGTTTGCATTTTCTAGGATGAGCGATTTCCCAAAGGTACTGGACTGGAGTCGGGAACCCGTATCCAATCTGTTCTTTGTTTGCCAATTGTCACAGCAATTGGTGACCTGATTGGTATCCTGGAGCTTTACCGTCACTGGGGCAAAGAAGCCTTCCACCACAGTCACCAAGAGGTGAGCTCGTGTGCAACCTGTGCCCCCCTCCTCGTCATGGTCAGGATGTCACTCCCATCCCTCCCCCCACTCCAAACTTCCTTATGTCACTCTTCTAATGAGTTTATATCTTTTTCATGCTTGATTTTTGTTCCTACCAAAAAAGAAGAGAAATAGGTAGTGATTTGTATTTTCAGTCAGAGGAAGTAAAATATGCAAGTACAGGGACACATCAAGAATTTTACCTTGCGGATAAACAGATTCAAAGTTTCTTTGTTGATTAGAAACTCAATACAGAGTTGTTAGAGAAGTTAATGTATGGCAGGTAGATGAAGTGTAAGTATAAATCAAACATCAAAATCCAAAATCATTTTATATAAAAAAAGACAATGCTCAGTTATCCTGAGTCTCAATCTTAACTTTCCAGTACAGCTTTATTTTACATTATTGTAAGATTTTAAAATTTATTTTAGTTTACTCTTTGTTGTGGCTTCTCAAATAATGAGCTCTTTCGCAAAACAGAGTGTTGCAATGTTACACCAACAGTTAATCAAGTCTCAGTGCTGGGTCTCACAGGGGGGGAAAGCAATTTTACTTTAAATCAAACTTGAAGCAAAAGAGGTTTCTGATATTTGCATCCATGTTTTTACTGCCACATGCTCTCCAGCACCAAGATGTGTCTGTCTAGGCGGTATTTCCAGTACCAGGTGTCCAGGTATTCCCTCCAAAATACCTTGGAACAGGACAAGGGATGCTGTCTGTTGAGTCTTTATAGTCTCCTGGCTTCTTTCCAAGTTGAAACCATGTGCTGGTTTTGGGTCAGGATTTTCTTTAGATTTTTGGAGCTGATAGCCTTTGTCTCTCTGTAGCCTGTCCCATCTTTGTGAGTTGTCAGGATCACTGTCCTTTGTCTCCTGACTTCGATGTCCTTAGAAACTGTATAGAAGTGCTGGTACCTGGATGACCTGCCAGTCTAGGTGACACTCATAAAGCTTTCCTCTGCTTTTTTTAACTTCTGATGCTTCCCTATCCAGATATTCTCATTCATACTCATCCTCCCCTTTCCATGCCTGTTCTGCATGCATTACTTTGTTCATGTAAGTTTGTGTAGCTGTGTTGTCCATACATATCCATTTGTCAATCTGAAGTTAGAAGCTGTTAGCCAAATATAAGTGGATTTTAAAATAGAACAGGCGATGCAAAGGTTGTTGCTGAACTAAAGGTATTCAAGGTGCATCTTTGCTCTCATGTCAGGGTGAGGATCTCTGTTATGTCCCATTAAAATGTCTCTGATGTAAAGATGAAATTCTCTCTGTGCTGTCCCCCAGAGAAGGGAACCTGAACACACAGGAAAAAATGGAGTGAGTTCTAGCCAGGTGTGTTGTCCCAACAGTGATACAAGATCCACTGTGGTACAGTTTAGTTGTACTGAACAGGAATTATTTGTGTGAAAAGGACAGAGGAGATTCAGACAAGACATACAAAAACTAGTCCTCCCAAAGAAGGAAAACAGCAGCAGTATTTGTCAAGTGTATATTTTGTTTATCAGTAAGCTAAATACGCTAGCATTCATCTGATGTTCACGTGTGTGTATTAATTGGGTAGTCAATGCCATTTCAGCTTGTTGTCACATCTTGTATTTTTTCACCAGTAGACAGAGGTCAGGGTAGGGATTTAGTGTGATGGGACCACTGTCCTTGCTCAGAGAACAAAGAACAGGCATTCATACAAAACCAGGCTTCATTAATTCTGCAGCCTACACATAATGTATTTTATTTTTAAAATTGTCCTATTAATTAATCAATCTACAATTCACATAAGTCTCAGACATGCATTGTTTTATGAAAATATGAATGTTATATGAAATAGCTGCTGTAGCTAAAGTTCATGAATGTTCTACTTGGAAAAGACTGGCTGCATTAAATGAAAGTATTTTATTAGTAAATTAAAAATATTTTAAGGTCACTTTCTAAGTGTTCTAAAGCATTCTTTTCATTTTCAGGTTTCTGAAAGCCTTTGGATGCCATTAGCAATTTTTATGAAATGTGTGCAAAGTGTTCTGTTTAAAAATATAAAATAAAAAATACCTTAGGAGGGCATGCAAAAGCTGACCTCTTGTGCTTCTATTCCCTGTGTTCCTGTAAAGCTCCTGTGCTTCAAGGACATAAGATTATGCATGGTAGCACATCATAGTTAGCTGCAGTTTACATGACATTTGTTTGAAATGTTGCCTGGAAACTGTCATACTTCAAACACTTGAGCTGAGGGATCAGGTCTGGTTCTTCTGCCACCAAAACAGTAATGAGAGAAACAGTGCCTGTTTACAGCTGGAAGTAGCTATTGCTCAACAAACACAGCCCCAGAAATCTGTTAAGGCATATTTTATTTCTATGGCAGATGCCTTTCAATAATTTAAAGCCCTCAGCTTATGAGATGTTTGTTTTGATGTTATATTTTTGAGCTGATGGGTGCTCAATTCTGCTTCTGAAAACCATTGGTAAGCTCTAAAATTGAAACACTTGCAAGTACACTGAGACTTTTGCAAAATAACTGTCCTTCCTTAAATTGTTACTGCCTGCCTGTCTAAAACAGCTCAGTCAATTTACTTGCATGTAGATGATAAAAGAGGCATGTCACTAATGTGCAGTTTTTAAGGTTTCTTCAGAGAGAGTTTCTTCTCCTTTGTTGCAGGTTGCAACAGCAAATCTTGCATGGGCTTCAGTAGCAATACATCAAGTACAAGTAAGTGTGAGTGGTTTTTCATTTTTTTTATGGTGTTACTTGTCTTCCAGAATGGGTTTATTAGGAGCATGGACTATGATCAGATTTAACTGGAGGTCATTTCTAAGGCATTGATTAAAGCCCCTTCATTGAACCTGGAAAAATATACTAACACTTTTGGTGTTCATTGAACTAGTTTTCCTCACTTCCAATCATGGATCTAATGGCAAACAGTATTTGTACTAAAGGAAATAAATTTGAACAAAGTAGATAAATAACGATTAAAGCAACTTTGCACAGTTGTTTAGTTTTCTTTTTCTTGTGAAAGGCAACTGCTAGGCTAACTGGTTGTTTCCTCCTGCTTTGGTATTTGGTTTAAAATTATAAAGTGCTGCTAGCAAAGCCTATTTTAAGCCATCCTTGCTAGCTGCTTCATGGTCCTGTAACTACTGCCACTAAGGATGCTTCATGCTGTCCCTAGCTGAGTGCCTAATGGAGCTTCAGTGTCAAGCTGCTCTAGCAAACCCCAGCAGCTTTGCTAATAGGTTTTGTTACTTAAGCTAGCAGAAGATGGTAACACTGAAACTAAACATATTCTGTCAACTCAGAGAAGATGCTAAAATAGGTTCTTCTGTCATCTCCCAGGAGGAAATTCATGACATTCTTTTTTCAAGCTGTCTTTCATACACTTGTCAGAAGACATGCAGAAACCTTCCTGCTTTTCTTTTGTAGTCTTTAATATTTTCTGCTTCTGTGCTGGTTGTCACTGACTTTGGGGTGGTCATTCCCTTCTGGGCAGAGTTAGCTGGCACAGACAGCTAGTACACTAGTAGAATTGCTAGCTATTGTACACTAGTAGAATTGCAATTGCATGCAGTTGTAGCTTCACTTATGTAAGAATTACTCTCTCCTTGATTGGGAAGTCTTTCACATCTAACAAAACATAATAGGGGAAGTTAAAAAGCTTGTCCATTTTTATTTCTCTTCCTTCTTCTAAGCAGAAGGCATGCTCTTCCCAAGTTTTTTTGCATGAGAAGAATGCAAAAGTTTTCATCTGGCATTTTGTATCTACGTTGCACAGATGAAAGATATTACTTGTTCAAAGTGATATTTTTGTAAGTGTAAAATGTACAAACAGTAGAGTGTTGTTTTACTTTTGGCCTCAGTGCTTGCTCTAGTAATATACAGATGTACAATCGTGCTTCAGATACCGAGTATGCAAGTATGTGAAGTAGAAATACAGTTGAAACCTTTGCTTTATCTAACATTTTGCTTCTAAAAAGAAGTATGCATACTATTTTCTGTATTCATATTCATGCTGATTTCTCCCGAAGTTGAGCATATATCATCTGCTGCTTAGCTTAGTTAAACTTATGTCAGACTACAGTTGTGTCTATATGCTACTTTGCAGCCTGGAAAAAAGTGGCAAAAATGTGATAAGGGAGAAGGGAAACAAAATATTTGACATTCTCAGAGGATCTGAGGATCTGGATAAGGAAATGTTCATTCCATAATCGCAGTCAGTGACAGTCTTTGAGACAGCATGAACAAGTGTAAAAACCAACAGCTTTAAGTGGGTCTTAGGAAAGATTTTTCTTGTGTTTCACAGTTTTAACTCAGCAACTAGATAGCTAAGATTGAAACCCAGCACAAAAATTCAGTCTTAATTTTATACAGTGCAGTAGCAGATATATATATATTTTTATATATACATATATTTATATATACATATATTTATATATATTTATATACATACACAAACACACACATACACACACAAGTACTGGTGTTTTTTTCATACAAATTAAAGGGGTGGGACTTCAGTTTCCCACATCAGTGTTCTGGAGCAAATGGTTCTATGATCTGTGCTTCCAGGTGTGCCGGGGCCTTGCCAAGCAGACGGAACTGAATGACTTCTTGCTTGATGTATCGAAGTAAGTGTGATTTGCAAGATAATCTCATGAGTTTTTAATCAGCATGGCTCTTCCAATCTACCTGTGTTCACTCAATAGCAGTAGTGGGGGCTACTCACTCTAGCTCACAAGCAGGTGCAAAGGTACACATCAGAGGGTGGCCAAACTTCAGCACAGGGACAAGAACAAGTGGTGTGTGTTGCAGTGGTGTTTACCTTTCATAATTTTTGTGGTAGTGGTGGTGCAGATGAAAGTGTGACATTAATTTTATACCTTACATAATTTGTTTATTCTTGTGGTCTTTTGCATGGGATGTTTTCCTCCTTTTCCTCACCTCTTCTGTCAGAGTTAGATGTGACCATCTTTTTAGAAGTGGAAAATAGGCTTGGTGTCTCCTGGCAATTTTAGATGGCTTGAGAAGACTTTACAGAAAGTTGTTTAGTGTGCTTCAGCTTCCCTATTCTCCCAAGAATTTTTTGGACATGAATGCATGTATTCATAAATATATGGACTTCAGAGGTAAATCCTTGAAGAATCAGAGCTGCCACATGATTGATCTTCCTGTACATTTTCTGAAGGATCTGTTTTAGTTTTCAAAGACTTTTATTGCATGTAATATGTTTGCTTTGAATTTCTTGTCATTATAAGGCAAGATTAATTTGAAAGCACAGAAAAAGTGTGAAAGCTTGAGTTTACACTTGCAAAATCAGTTTAGTGTCTTAGGTGGTCTGCTCTTCCTTCATCTCTTTTTGTTTGTCACTGCTATAAGAATCTTTAAATAGTAAAGATAACCAATAAATTAAAAGATAAACCAGAGCTGCACTTTTGGTAAATCAGTTTGGAGTGCTTAACAGTGTTTTATGAAACTAGTTGGTAGAAAAATTTCAAAGTGCATCACAAAGTAGTGATGATACTATGGAAAGATGAGATGTCTTGTATTTTTGCTGCAGACGTTTCTGTGGGTCTTGATGAACAATTCTCAAACTGATGAGATTAGAGGATGTCCCAGATTCCTATGCCATTGCTCAGGAATGTAGGCAGCCAGCTGTCCCAGCTGGCAGGGCAAGTAATAAACTACAGGGAAGAGTCTGCCCCATGCAAGGAGGGCAAGCTGGTTGTATCCAGATGTTTTTCCAAATTTTTTCCTCAGGATGACCTTTTTTTTAATTTCAACATAATTCACGCCATGCCTCCCAAAGGTCACTCTTACCAAGTCTTGCACCATTATATTCCTTTTCAGAGTGCTTGTGTGTTGCTAACATCCATACTTAACTAGTTTACAAAAAAAACTATATTAATCTATCCAAATTTATGGACTGGCAATTTTTTCTTGGACTGGCATAGTACTGAGATTGTTTTAAAGAATTTTGTAATTTTTTATGTTTTTAAGATAATAAGCACTGCAAACATTATGCCTTTCTATAAGAAAATAATTCTCATATAGCATTATCATTTGCTAGAGTTTTTTAGTTTCAATGAAAGAAGAAAGTTTGTTTTAAGGCACAAAACTGGGATATCATTTAATAATATCTTTATGAACTTCATGTAGGCACAGACTTGTATCAGCAAGAAAATAAGTAGTTTCCTCTTGGAAGTGGTCTGTATCTTTTCTAACATGGAAGGAGAATTTCCTTTTCAGTGAGGAAATTGTTAGTGTGCAGTGTCACCGGGACATGTTCTGTAACATTTTAGAAAGGGCAGACTATTCAGTGCTCCACCTCTTCATGTCCCTGATGATGTCAGACCAGTGCATTTTGTATCTCTAGACCCAAACAGAACTGAGCTGTGTATATTCAAGCCCACAGGGCAATGCCTTTTGTCTGCTGGGAACATTGTAATCTGAGGGTTATTAATACACGGCATGTGGAAAATGTAGACTTCTTTTACTAATAAGTTTGACCTTTATCTTTCAATGTTATGGACTGTCCTTGAGCAGTTACCACTTTGCTGTGAAACTGAGATTTTTTTAAATTCTTTTTTATTTTTTAAATAACAAGATCATTCCCTTTTTTCAACTTCAACTGGTGTTGATAGAGAAAGCTCATTAAGATTTTCTTAAATAGTTGCCTTTTAACTAGTATAAGGACTAGATAATATGACATGGATTTAGCTATTTCTTAATATTTTGATATAAATTTTTGTTGTTGTTTTCTACTTATTTTCTTTTCCTTTTTTACTTCTGCTTTTAAACTATTCAGTGTGTTAGAGGTGCCAAAGCATTTTGATGCATTCTTGATGTTGCTCAGCAGGAGTCTGTTCAGTTCACAGCAGGCAATATTTGTTAGTCTTTTCCTTTTTCTACAGAGAAAATTCTATGTATAATAAAGAATATTTTCAATTCCGTAGAATAATGGCTTAAGGGAACAGAGCTAGGACTACTTCTTAAATCCCTTGTGCTGTAGCAAGCCAGTCAGTGATTTTCAAGCTGCAGTGGTTTGTCCTCACCTTTTCTGGCTCCATTGTAAGCCATAGTGAAATAAGAGCCCCTGACACTAATTTGAGAAGTGTTTGACTAAATGCCAATGTTTACTGACTTCTCTTTCTCTGCAGAACATATTTTGATAATATAGTTGCAATAGATTCTCTACTTGAACATATAATGGTAAGTTGTCTTTTTCACCTCTAAGTTTATTAGTTGTAGGTATTAAAGCCCTTCATTCTCCTTCCCTTGAAGACATTATATCATTGAAATATATGAGCTGTTTGTAGTGAACACATAATACAAACAGTATAAACATGTCTGTACAGAAAAGGTGGTAAAGGACAGCTTGATTTGTCATTTTTGCAACAACTTCTATTCACAGCTTTCATAAGGAATGAAACAGGACTGTCTCCAAACTGAATAGGTACTATTGTGTTCTGAGAAAGTTTGCAAATTGCAACAGAAAGACTCCTGATTTTCTTTTTATTTCAGCATGTTATATTGATTCCTTCTTCCTAAATTAAATTTGCTACATGCTGCAAAATTGCTGAAGAAGTTGCTATCTGTAGCAAGGGATGGAGTTTAAAAATTACTCCTAGGATATTTTTTCCAGTTGTTGAATGGGATGTGAAAGACCTTGGGAAACTACACTCATAACTAGAGTGACAGTCAATGACAGACAGGCTTTATAGAAACCATTAAAGCCAAGTGCTTAGTTCTTCCCATTGAAATAACTAATTAATGAATTAAAGTACTGTTCAGAAGCAGTTTATGAGTTTCTAAATCAATTTTGAATTCAGAATTATTTCCTGAATAGTGTTAACAAATGTGTGTGAACTGGTTGTTTATAACATGTTTTGAGTGTTTGATATGTGAATTATGCTTTTTAGCTTTATGCACATTCATTACATTCTGCAGTTCTCTTTCCTAAGTTTAAATCTGAATCAGGTCTGTGATACCAGTGTTTAAAATCTGCACATTCAAAAAAATTACTTTCCAACAGTACTCTGATACATGCCCCAGTCTTCAAAGTGCTATTCTTAGCTAGATTGTTCAAAGACAGCAATGTTAGAATGCAAACAACAATAAAGTGTTTGCAACAACAATAAAAGTTTTATTTAGAAACGTGAATTAGTAATGGAAAATATTCTGCAGTGTTTGTGTTATTCTAGTTAGTACACAGTGAAGAATTCTGCACATAGGACACATTTCTGAACATCGACTTTTCCAATTTAAATGAACCTCCTAAAAATAGCTTAGCATTTAAAAGAACTAGTACAACATAACATATGGCATTGAGAACAAATATTGATATTCTTCCCCGTTCTTCCCTGTGAATAGAGATCTGGTGGAAAACACAATTGGCAGTAAAATATGCTTACTCTTTCATCATCTTTTCCAACACTTGGCTGGATCATGATTCTGTATTTTAACCTGTGTAATGTTTCATACTCAGCTTCCTTTTAAGCTGTAGCTGTTATTGCTTTCTTGAGCCAGTTAGTTGAATTATGTTTTTGTACATTTTTTGCCATTTTGTGGGAGCATGATTTGATCATTATGTGGCTTATTCGGTGTGTCTCTGTTAGAAAAGACCAGAACTCAGTTTCTTCTGAGAAACTGAGAAAGTTCTTCTTGCTGCTTCACCCTTTGGTGATTGCACTTATGATTTGATTTGTTCCTGCAATGCTAAAGAAAAAATATGTGTGTTTCTTTCCAGTCTTCATTTTTATTTTCATTAGAATCTCTCAGCAAAGCTAGTGATATAAGGGTTTTTTGAATGTAAATGTAAGGAAGAGGAGTAAAAGTTCAAGTTGCCTTACAAATTTTCTTGCCCATATGCTTGAGCACAAGCAGCTTATGAGAAAGGTGGTCCCTGGCTTCCCTATTGACAGTGAGGAATATACTTTTTGTACTGATACTCGCTTTCAACCACTGCTCAGAATTTGAGCAAGGGATTTAGAGAAGTAAAACTCTCATCCTGTTAACTATTTCTCAATTAGTACTGTTTAAGCAATCATTTTTGAAAAGCATGAGTCATGACCAAGGTAAGTTCTTGAGTCATATGCATTAAACCACAAAAGATTAATTGTATAAAGTCAACACTCTGCTGTAGATTTTACAAAGAAATCTGATACAGTATCTGAATAGAAGCATTTACCGGATCCCTTGTCCTTTTGGTAGTTTTTGTTCGCTTTCTTTTGAGTAAATACATAAGCAGTCTGAGTCGTTAAGGTCTTTAAATTTCTTAATGCTCTAAGGAGGAAAAATTGCAGAAGTCTTACCTCTTGGATTGAATTCTCCCTGAGTTTTCTGTTCTGATGGAGTGAGTGGAGTAGAAGACAACAGAATCTTCCTCAACACAGATTCGGTCTGTATGGGGGGGCCCTCCAAGTTCTGGAATTGGGCTAGATGATATCTGAGCAGTTCCCCTCATATGGCATTGAACTAGAGTGTCTCAGCTAATGAATTTTCATCTCATATAGGGGTTTTTTGTGCTGAGATGTAACATTTGTCCATCTGCATTACCGTGAAATTAAATGCTTTGTTTTATTTATATTTTTGGAAGACAAAAGAGAAGGGATGTGGGAGATCATTCATATGTAAGTCTTATGAATCCTTAAAACGTACCAACTGCATGCATTGCACACCAAGATTTTGTGAGCCTTTTTCTGTACTGAATGACTAGATAGGTATAATATATAAAGTGGAAAGAGATCCAGCTCAGATCATACTCTACCATGCAGTTACTGTACTTTCTGAGCAAATGAGAAACACAGGAGACCTGGATAGAGGTCTGAATTGGATAGAGCGGGTTCTTGTGCCTGTATATGGGCATCTTAGCACCGTGATCCTTGTTTGATTTTTTTATCTCGCTTTTTCCTCTTTTTCTCAGAAAGTCTGTTGTATCTCTGAGAAATACTTCAGTGAAGACCTGCTGTGTTCCCAAGACAAGATTCTGTTCTGACAGTCAGTGCTTCTGGGAATTATTTTTGCTGAGATAAAACTAGTTGGTTCAAAGTAAGATAGAGACCATGCTGTTGTTGTACTGTGGTACTTCCTTGGCTCTGGCTGGTACCTTTGGGCTTTGGTTAGTTCATGCACAATCTCTAAGTCTCAGCCCTTGTGCAAGTACTTTCCCTGACATCAGGAGGGTACAGCCACTTCCTATCCCTCTGCATAGGGCAATCCATACTATACCTCTAACAACAGAACCACAGTGTCACAAAGTATTTCTGACTTGGAATGGACCCACAAGGATCATTTGGTCATTGTTTTTTACAGGCACACTTAGCTTTTTTAGAAGCAAGCACTATACTCTCTGTTATGTCTGTCTTTACTGGATATTAAATACCAATACATTTGCATTGACAATGAAGGTAAAAAGACAAAATTGTTCTTAGGTCTTGCTCTAACTTATCTATTTAAAATCAGGTGAATAGTATCTGAACATAGAGGGAAGAAAGGTACTATTTTGGAAAGCCTTGAAAGTCAATTAAACAGGAAACCTTGGGGGAAACTTTCCAGTCTCTGAAGATATTCCTGCATTTCTTGAGGAAAATACTCAAATTTGCAGAGAAAATATTGAATTCAAGATTTTACTTCTGAATTTTATCCTAAAAGATTGCTTCTTCACACAGGTTTCCGTCCTGGATAACTTCTCAAAACTTTTATTGTACAGGGATGTATATTTTTATCAGGTAAATGACTGGAGATAATCCAACTCATGACCGTTAACTCTAGTTTTGTTTTTTGTCTGTAGATATATGCAAAAAACCTGGTGAATGCAGATAGGTGTGCACTCTTCCAGGTTGACCACAAAAATAAGGAGCTGTATTCAGATCTTTTTGATATCGGAGAAGAAAATGATGGGAAACCTGTCTTCAAGAAGACCAAAGAAATAAGGTAAGAATAGCTAGCAGAAGAGTATTAGTTTCATTATAACTATGGATATGCAGGCATTTTATTACCCAGTTTCTGTGCCTATCTGCAGGTACCCTGACAATACTTGTCATACTGTGATATCATTCCCACCAGGACCCGCCTCCAGAAGGTAGTACTTCTGGGAATGACATTGCAGTGCCATCGAAACAGCGTCTCTGAAGCTATAACGTCACTCCTGGAAATGCCGTCTTCCGGAGGCGGTCCTTTTGGAAATCATGTTGGGAAAAAAACAGAGGTGTTCTGAGGTAGGTAAAGGTGCAGGTAATAGTGCACCTAATCCATAGTCTGCCAGTTTGGGACTTTTTTTTCCCAAGAGGGTTCCCAAGAGGAATTAAAATTTGTGCGATTCTAGCACATCCAAAGCAAGGAAATCACAATTTGTACTTCTTGTGGATGGATTAGGCAAATGTAGAATTGAGTATGGATTGGTCATTCACTTTCAAGATTTCAAGCTCAGTAATTTAATTCTACTTTTCTCATGTGAATTTAGATTTTCAAACTTTCAATTATTTGTGATACTAAAAAATGCTTGAAGTGGTGAAATTGAAAATGCATATTGTCTGGTAATGACTAGAAAGGATTCTCTGACTAAAAGTTATGTGTATTTCTGCTTCGTGTCACAGGTACCTCATTTTTACACTTATGCACTTTTTTAATGAAATAGGCTAAACAACAAAGTAAATATAGTGCTTTTCACGTTTCAAAAATTATGAATCCCTAATAGATCCAGACTAAGATTTTCAAAGGCATACAGGTTTCAGATTTTCAGCTTCTTAAAAGTAAAGAATTTTATGACTAAGTATCTTGTACTAAAATTTTCCTAAAATATTCAGCATTGATTTTTATCAGAACTTTTTTAATTTCCTCCTTATTCTTTTAAAGTTCTGGGCCAGTATGAGATGTGATTCATGTCTTAACTAAGACTCCTTTAGACAAAATTACTCCCACTTACCATTGTGTGAGTGAGAATGGAAGGAATAAAAATTGGTGCAATTTGCGTACTGACAAGCAAGGAGGTGGTGTAAATTAAAGAAGATGGCCTGCTTTAACATGCACTTTCATACTCCTTCGTGATAATTGTTTTTCTTGCTTATATCCTTCTGTCTTCTCTGTATGTTATTGAAATGTTGATTTTAAGTGCAAGGGTGTGAGCCATTTCACAGGTACTGTATACTGAAAGTGAAGTACAACTTAAATATCTGTAAGAAAGTGACACTGAGTGAGTCATCAGGAAGGAATCTTAAGTTGGTGTGATGTACCTATCATAAGAAACAACAGAAAAATATAACTTAAAGTCAGGTGTGCAGGGTGAAATCCTGACAGCTTCATCACTGACTTCAATACGAGGCACCAGGGTACCACCAGGGTGCAGTTAGACTTCAAAGCATTCCACGTATGATTCTTTTTACGTGTTTTTCTCCAAAAATTATCTTCTTCTTTTATGTCATAACTGCTTTATGTCAAAATATTGAAAATTATTTACTCATAAGACAGATGTATGGATTGTTGTGATACAACTTAACAATGTATTTGTAGTGTTTAACTTCCTTGCGATGATTAAGAGATGCAGTTAATAACATGGCATTGTTTCATTGTCATGAAACAGGCTAGTCATTCCCATTCCCATGGACAATCCATGTAATGTTCAGCTATGAAATTTCCACTGGTCTTTTTCCAAATTTAGTTACCAAATCCACACACAAACACCACCCAAAGAAACAAGTTCCGTGTTGCCTTCCATGTGTCTAAAGAAGCAATGAATATGAAAATGCATGAATATATAAGAGTCGTAACAAAATCAATACCTATTAAATGTAAACACAAGTCTGAGTTCTGTACCAATGTTATGTTTGTTAGGGATTACCCGCTGGGTTATTGAAGATTTTGAATTTTTGTCACTAAAATGGTAATGTTATGACATGTTTTGTATTAAACTATATAGCTACATAAAATGTCTTCAGAAAGTATCTGTTAGGATGTGCTTTTTGTTTTATTATGTGCTACTAGCTGTTGTAAGATTTTTCTCCTCAAAGCAAGAAAATGGCGTTGGTTGGGAACACCCATTACTGTGCCCAAGAGATACACCACTAGAAAAATGTGTTTGTTGTATTTTGGCTAATACACATTTTTATTTTCCCAGATTTTCTATAGAAAAAGGAATAGCTGGTCAAGTGGCAAGAACAGGAGAAGTCCTTAACATCCCTGATGCCTATGCAGACCCACGCTTTAACAGGTAGGATGCACTTCACTGGAGGGGAAGATAGCTCATCAAACCTTTTACATAAAATTACTACTTAAATTTCATATTCAGATTCATTCATGGAGCTGTAGTCCTCTGACAAGGAAGTAATTATAGATGTTATTAAATGCTATAGCCATCAGAGATACTTTTAAGATACAAATAAAAGTATTTTTATCAAAAATTAATATAATGAAAAAAAATGTTCTTAGATTATTGCCAATTTTCATTATCAGTCTCCCTGCAATCTCATTAGTTTCATGGGAGAAAAATAGTTCACTAACAAATAGCATGCCTAAGAATACCCAAATGTTCTTCAATTCTGTGTTTGAGGCAATATTAATTCTTTGTCTTGCATATGAAGAATAAAGGATTAAAAAGTTCTTTCTAAGTATGAACACAGTAGATAAAAATATTTTAGGGTTTTGAGGGTGAAATTCTTGCAGGTACTAATTTGTCTACTTTACTATGATTAAGTATATTGTACATCAACATTTCTGAGAATCAAGGAATAGATACCCATTGATATTAACTCTTTTCTCTTTTTTCTTTCTCCTTTATGCATCTTCAGAGAAGTAGACCTCTATACAGGCTACACAACCAGAAATATCCTGTGCATGCCTATTGTGAGCCGAGGAAGTGTAATAGGGGTTGTGCAGATGGTTAACAAAATAAGTGGAAGTGCCTTCTCTAAAACTGATGAGAACAACTTTAAAATGTTTGCAGTCTTTTGTGCTTTAGCCTTACACTGTGCTAATGTAAGTTTTATTTACAGTTTTGTAAGTTATAATGAGAATACTTAAGTATTTTGATGTTACAGTTTATTAAAATGATTTGTAAGTCTATTTCATTGAATTAACGCTGTATCTTTTAGTGAATAATTCTATTTAAAGAGGATGATAGGGATTTCATTTGAAAGAACCATACTCAGGATATATCAATTTTGTGTAGCTAAAATGAGAAAGCTCTGGAATGTGTATGATATCTGTCTTCCTTTTTCCACTAAAAAGTATGATTCGTATTTACTTTTATAGATTTGAATTAAATTTTATAAATTTAATTGGGGAATTGAAATATTCTGGATATTCTCTCAATTCCATATTCTTAATACTCAAAGATCAATTTTTACACTTATATGCTGTGGCATATTCTTATAATTATCCATGCTTCTAGATAAGAGTGGGTAGCTATTTTTGTCCTCAAACCCTTTATTATCTCAAAATTTACTATGCCTGTAGGAAACATAAGCAATATAATGATCATTACTATATAAGTATAAAAATTATTATTAAGTATAAAAATTCAGTAAATACGCAATGCAGAAGAACTGAGTTATGTCCATGGGAGGTAAGATAAAATGCAATGCCAGTTAAGCCTGGTGACTTACATTAATTAGTTTTACCAATAGCATCCCAGTGGTACACTAGGGCAGCAAATTGTATTACTTGGTGCCTCAAGTTGTTTCACTTTGATCAAGGCAGGTAGAATGGCCTGCATATAAATTACACTTGGGACTATGCACACTCAGCTGTGTGTGAGTTCACTGCTTTTAGATGGTGAATGTTACCATTCAGGCTGTACTGCTCCAGAAGATTTTTTAACTAGTACATTGTTATGTCCTCACTTGAACCTCTCAGTAATTAACTGTACTTATTTTTCATACTGAATATTAATGTAGGTACGATAAACATCCCACATACTTTTTACTGTGCATAGGTAGAAGTAATTTTTACCAATTAATAAAATTCATACAGTGGCAAAAAATACGAATTGTGTCATGTTATAAGTTTTCTGTCAGAATTTTGCAAAGGACTTAGCTCCATTTTTGACTCCTGAACTTGGATTGTTTTTCTTGGGAGAGCTCACATGCAGTTTAAAGTCAGCTAAGCCTTAGATATTTACTCAAGTGAGTAGATGAAGAGTGATGCAATAGAAGGCCTGCTTTCCTAGAAGTACTGAATTCAATGTAATCTGTTGCTTTTCTAATATGTGAAGTTCTGCAGCCAAATGCACTGTCATTTCTGCAGATGTGTATTGTAATAATCACTGCTTGAATATAGGAAGTAATTTTTTTCCTTTATTAAAATTTCCTTAAATTTCCTTTATTAAAATTCATGCATGACTTTTTCAGATGTACCACAGAATTCGTCATTCAGAGTGTATTTACCGTGTAACAATGGAGAAGCTATCCTACCATAGTGTTTGTACAGCAGAAGAGTGGCAAAACCTCATGCACTGTACACTGCCTCCACATATTTATAAAGAAATTGAGCTGTAAGTATTTTTCTAATGTAGCAGCAGTTGTATATAGCCTGTTAATTTTTTTTTCCTTACTTGTAGTGGATTTTTTTAGGAAGCACTTTTATTATTGAACTATAGCAATATCATGGTGGTTTTATCTCTGGCTTTCTTATACTTAGCTATAATTAATGTCCCATGAACAAAATTTATCCATCAAAGATATAAAATTACACATACTCAGAATTTTTCCACAGGTATGGGTAGGTAGATACAGTAATTGCTTTAAGCGTTTGTTTTTACCTAGGATTTGAAGAGATGAGCTTTCATTCTTGTAGTCCCAAATCACCATCAGCTCAGAGCCCGAGGGAAAGCTGAGCTTGGAACATCAGTACTTAAGACCAAATGAATTATCTCATCCCCTTGGATATGGTTTTAGAATTAAACATATTTATCCCAGCTCAGTCCTGGGGTTGTCTGGGTTGTGTATGTTTTTAAGGTTTGGTTTTGGGGTGCATGCATATTATGTGTGTGTGTAGGGTGTGTTTAGTTTTTTTATGAGTTTGGAGTATGGATGTATGTGTGTGTTGTGCATCTGCTTGTGCTTATTGGAGAAGGGGAAAATTATAATTTATAGTTACAAATCCCAGGTGTTAGTGGGTAGAGTTGCTGCCTAACTTTGGAGGAGGACTTCCCATCCAGCCTTTTAGGCTTTCTCTGACATAATTCAGTTATTTTCAGCTGCTGTATGCTGAAGCTGAACCTCTATCTGCATTTTATTAGCCAGTCCCCACTCAACTCTAACAATGGGAGCCATCATATTTTTAAGTCACTCTTTTTGGGCCAGGACAATAAATTCTACTCTGTAACCAGGTGCCTAAAATCAACTATTGAGTCACAAAATCTAAATTTTCCTTTTAAACCTCATCCCCAGAGCTCGCTCACTTCTGTTCAGCACTGAGCATTGTAGTTGGGAGGGAGCTGAAAGCCTGTGTTTAACAGGTACTACTTATAGTTAAAGTTCATTACATGCTGAAATGATTTGCTTGAATGCCAGAGCATTAACAGCTGGCAGGATTACACCCTAATAGAAGCTTATTCTTTGCAATACAATTTCTTGTGCTTTGTTAGGTGATATTATATAATCCACCTCCTCAGCAAAAATGAATTTTACTTGCAAAGATGACAGGTTTCATTCTAAATTATATTAGCATCCTTTAGTTCAAGCAGAATACATTTCACCATTTTCCAAGCGATTCAGCTACCTTCATTCCTCTTACAAGCTGCTGTGCTGTTCAGTGTGCCAAGTAGTTAAGGTTCCATGGAGAAAAACTATAGGACTTGCAGCACAGGAAGTGCAGGGAAAGCGTTAGTTAATAATTGAAGGAAAACCAGTTCTTTTGTCCTGGGCCCTTAAAATTAGGCCTCGGTAGTCTTATCAGTGGAGGGGACAAGTCTTCAGGTAATGAAACATTAAATATATGGTATTAAATGTTAAATTTTTGAATTTTTGGCGTGATTTCTATTAGCCAGTAAAAACTGATTTTTTCCTCTATCAAAATTAGAGCACGTCTCATGCAATTTATGACAGAAATTATTGGAAAAAAGGCCAGTAAATATATTATTAGAGACACCGTCTTCAGTATTCCTGAGACAAGTCTTGAATATTTTAGGAATGCCTGAAAATCTTTTATTGTTCCTGAGAGTTCTCTTTTGTCTGTTACTTAATCTGTGGATCCTTAGATAAACATATGTGTTTCCCTTATGTAAACAAAGCCAAAAGCTAGCTGTTGGACTTGATCATAAGAGTCTTTTCTCACATAAATTACTAAATTATTGTATGAAACTATGAGCATAGTTCCATTAACCTTAGCAGAAATACATAACTTGACATTACTGACAAATATAACCTGTAAATTCAGCTTTCTGTGTGTATTCAGAAAGAAGTTAATCTTGCTGGATATACATTTCCTAGTCATTTTCACTTGTTTTTAGTAACAATGAAAAGGTATTTGTCTTTTCTAAACTGAAACTTTCTTCTTAGATACCATTTTGATATCAGTCCATATGAAGATGTTTGGCCTGCTATTTTTGTCTATATGGTTCACCAGTCCTGTGGGACAGCCTGGTATGAAGTATATTATTTCTTTATTTAATTATTAAGTCTGTGTTTATTTGCTTATAATTTTTGAGATAATTACTTGCTAATTCAAGGTCTATTTTCTCTGATGTTTATTTACTATGTGTGGTTTGTACAGGACTGTAATAAACAGTCTGGACTTTTGTCCCACCTTTTTGGTCCTTAGTTAATAAAATCTGGGAACAGTGAGGTTAAAGAACTCATGATATCATCCTAACAGTTGTCCTTCTAATACACAGAAAAATTGTTTGATTCTGAGATGATTTTGTCTTTCAGACAGAAGATGGTAAAGGCAACAAAAAAGTACTCTTCCCAAAAAGGAGAGAAGGTTCATGAAAACTGATTTTTTCAGATATACAGTTGCCAAAATTAATAATGTATATGGTCAAAGTAAACCAATATCAGATCTTATCTTGCTAAATGAATCAGTTATTTGCATAGCTGTGCATTAATTATGGAAGTGAATTCTTTTCAAATTAAATGCTTCATTTGCTCTCATTTGTCTCAGTGTTCCTTATCATTACTAAGATCAGTAGTTGGGTAAGTATGGCACATTGCTAAAAGAAATAAGCTGCTCCAAATTACAGAAATCTTACAGATGGTCAATTGAGAGGGAAGTACGTCCCTACAAGGGAGGCAACATTCAGGAATGTTTGCTGGCATTTAATTTTATTTTACTAACTGAATGGATGCCCCCAAAGTGTGCAGTCAAACCAGAGGGTCTTTCTCAGTGTTGCAAAGTGGGTGACTCTTCTGAACACAGTTCTCTACTGCTCAGTGTAGTTAGCTTGTCTCCATTCCAGACTGAATGGCTGTGGATGCAAGGTTGGGGTTTGTATTTTCAGTCAGGTTCTGTTCTCTTCTCTCTCTGACTCCCAGTTTCTTCCTTTCAACATGTAGCTTTGATGAGAAAGAATTTATATCTGCTTGATGTTTTTCAAATAAGCCTCAGCTTTCACATATAAATTTAGGGAAACAAAAGTGAGGTAAATGTTTCAAGAGGAGACTCTTAGAACAGGACATGTATTTAATGTCTGAAAGAACAAAACTTCTCAAACTTTTGAAACAGACCCAAAAATTTTAGGACTAAAATTTTATTTTAATATATTAGAAATAAGGTTGTACCTTAAAGTATTTACAAATGTAATGTATAATTGTCCTGTCCAGAGAGGATTTCAGAGAAAAATATATCATACTACATTTTCTCTTCAGAAGAAGTAAGGTTTTACTGCTTTAGTCAAGTATACAAAATACAACAGTGGACGAAGTAGAAGTATTCTATGTTGAGGCATCACAGATAATGATTTTTCTTTTGGCTATTATACTATCCTATAATAACCATTGAGTTGAGATTGGATGTAGATGAAAGTGACTATTGTGCTATTCTGAGTTATGATGTACTACTTCAAACAATAGTTCTTTCACTGTCTGACTTTCTTGAATTAAAAAAGAAAGCCTAAAGTTTTTTTAAAGACAATATGCCTCTGTTTTTCTAATGTCAGATTAAGGCTGAGAATAATAATATATTACTCAGCACACAACTGTAGAAATACACATTTCTGCCTGTTTCCGTGTAGTAGATGTGTCTACATTTTTACACATAGGTTAGACACATGCAGGTTTTTTTCTCACCATACCACTTTCCTGATTATCCAAGAAATTATTAAAACACGGAACTTAAAAAGAAAGTCAAATCACAGCAAGAGGGGAAAAATATTGAATAAAGGAAAACTGCCTTTTTATGAGGGAAAAAGTAATTGATTTAGGACTTAACAAAATATTATTTAGTGAGAAGTGAAGAAACTGTGAAATGTGAAATTCTGTGAGTCTAAATTGGAAGAAAAAATTTACAAGTATTGGAAAAATAAAATCTGCTTCTCACAATGTCAGCACCTCTATTTAATCAGGTTTATTTCTTCTGGGTATTTTGCTTAAAAATCCCTGAGTTTTCTGTTTTGATCACAAATCATGTTTTTAAATTGTCCATTAGATGCGTAGTTGTACTATATTTCAAGTTGAATAAGCAACTGAAAGAAATCACTTCAAGTTTCTGGGAGCAGGGAAGGTCATGGAATTCTATTGACTGAGCTGAGTAGTATGACTTATGTTCCTGAATTTAACAGATTAAACTAAGAGCATTGTCAGGCATCCATGCTCCTCTGTCCTTGCCAAACTTGAGTGACTCTTCATGTCATTCAATGAGTCACCCACAGCAAGAGTCAATCCTAGCAAGAAGGGTAAATCAAAGACCATCATTTCTCCTCTGCTGGTTGTTTTTCCTGTTCCTATATCTATTCTCTGACCAAATTATTTTCTTCCTAGCTTTGAACTTGAAAAGCTGTGCCGATTTACTATGTCTGTAAAGAAGAACTATCGCCGCGTGCCCTACCACAACTGGAAGCATGCAGTTACTGTTGCCCATTGCATGTATGCCATACTTCAGAACAACCAGGGGCTTTTCACTGATCTAGAGGTAGGTGGCATGATGGTAGCAGCTACCACACCTCATCAGAGCTCTCAGCTGTTGAGTACTCTTATCATTAAAATGACTCTACTACATTTTCTGTGCTAGAGTTTTTTTTGTCAGCTCGGGCAGTGTGTATGTAAAGGTCTGCATGGAGGAACGGATGTGAGTAAAGAGTTTGAGGGAGGAATCCTAGTCATGTTTTTCAGGACTGCCCCTTAAAAAGCAGCAGTTGATTTGCTATAAATCTATGTCTAAGTTTTGGGGTTCTCCCTGTCCCCTTACAACCAGTCTTTAATTATTGCACTAACTGTCGCATCTATCCCTCTGTGAGGGAGGGAAACACCCTGGATCTTGAATCCTGTGAGGTCTGGGAGATCCTGAATAGGAGAACAAGGGTTGCAGAGCTGGTTGACATATGTGAGTAAAGGAGAAGAGCCAAACTCTATAAACTGTTCACTAAGTGGAAATAAATAACTAGTAAAATAGAAGTCTTAGGATGTTAATACACAGTATGGAAAACTGTCACTTGTTTTTCTTCTAAATTATGATACAACAGGGAGTTCTGTCTCTAATTAATGTTACATGAAACTTCTGAATCGGACAACTTGTTTTCAGTTGTGCATAACTCTGCCAAATATTCTCCATTTGGGCTGTAATTTTCCAGGGTCTGTTAACTTCCTCAAGGTGATTAATTCAGGGAAATTCCAGGCACAATTGCTTGGCTCTTTAAAAGAGACATGCTAGTAGAAATCAAAATGTGGTTCAGTGTATAAGAGTAAAATGAAACTTGGTGAGCTTTAATTTGAAAAGGTCTAGTTTATCCTACTGTAAAGCAGAGACTTGAAAATTGACACTGAAATGCAAAAGTGGCATATGCCAGGCATATGCTGAAATTTGGCCAAGCTATACAAGTCTGAAAAAAACCCCAGTATTACTTCAACAAAAAAAACCAACCAAACAAACAAACAAACAAAAAAAATCTGTCAGCCTCAGAGAATTTTTAAAGCTCTGAAAACATTCAGTATAACCAAGTAGTAAGCCCCATCTCTTTGGAGATGGAGAGTAAGCAAGAGAGGGAGAGCAAAAGAGACAGTTCTTAAGAGAGATGGAAACAGTCTTTTCCCCCTGCAAACTCCAGCCAGCCTTCATCTGTTTAAATGTCTTATCCCCAGTCTATGTTCAAGCTCTTTTTAGCAGTCTCCTTTCTTGATACTGGAGATTAATCCAACAAGAATATCAGAAACTGCTGAAAGAAAGTTTGGGCTGACCTCAGGTGAGGGATGCTGACACAAACCTCAGTATAAATCTACTGAGATGGGAAAATAAAACACTGTAAAGGAGACACTGATCTGGAGAAAAATGGAGAAAAATGCAGTAGTTAAAGATTTGGGATCCAAGCAGATAGAAAAATGGGTACAAGGGCCAGAGCACTGTTTTTAGGCATTGTATAATCCTGAAGGACTGAGACAAGAATGACTTCCTGAGACATGGAGACTAGGACAAGCTGTTACTGCATAACATCAAGTGATAGAGGTGTGTGTTATGTTCTTAAGGGTTCCTCCTTTGTTGAGGATCTGTGTGGACACGTGCTGCTGCATTACACTGGGGTTTGTATATGCTTTTTTAAAATACACTTCACAACATGAAGTATTGAAAAGACATCATTCAAAACAGAAGTGAATGTCTCAAAATCAGAAATAGTTAGCATTGCTACAGCCTTATTTCAGCACATGGTGTATTTGTGATAGTATTTCTAATTGCATCATTGCTATTTTTCCACAGACCCATGGGTCTCTTAGTATAGTATCCAGATTGGATGTTGTGCACTTAATAGATGGGTAATCAATATTCTTTTTCTCCTTCATTTTATAGCCTTATCCTTGTTTACTGAACACTCATCAGAAACAAATATATGACAAAGATATGGGGTCACTGAAGAAATTTTCATGATACTTCATGCCAACAGTGACAGTCATAAATATTTATGGTTTGTTTTTTTTCCAAACACATAAGCTATGTGAAAACCTTTTGGAAAAGAGATTTCAGGGACTCCATTTCTTCAGGATATTAAGGATTAATTATAAAAAAAAACCACTTACTGTCTTTATTTGTTTACAAGTGCATTGTCCAGCATTGTCCATGTCTCATGTTAGTGACTTCCTAGGAAAAAAACCCACTAGAAGATTTGGTTAACATCTCTAAGAGTGTTGCAGAGGCAGATCTGGTAATGAACTTCAGTGCACCTGTCTTGACCAGCAGATCATACATTTTGTATGTTTCTTCTCCCTCAATAACTGTGTTTTTTATTATTTTAATAAGCATTAAAGGTAAGGATTCAGCAGATAACCAGACTGTTTAAAATGCAGATTTCTTCTGAAGCACAGTCCATCCAATAGTATGTTACTGTCCAACAACGATTTTTAAATGCATAATATAATTACATTTGGACCAAGAATTTTAATTCAGCATGTTTTTACTGTCATGTTTATCTCATTTTTAAGGATATTTCCACATGTGCTGTTTGAAGGCAGTGTTAGCATACTGCAGCTTCTGCAGTCTTTTGGGTAGAGAGTGACATCTAGGGGCAGGAAATACATCTTGCTTTTCATGCTTGTGTCAATTTTTTTGTAGCGAAAAGGTCTTTTAGTTGCATGCCTGTGTCATGACCTGGATCACAGAGGTTACAGCAACAGCTATCTTCAGAAATTTGATCACCCCTTAGCTGCTCTCTATTCCACATCAACGATGGAACAGCACCACTTCTCACAGACTGTGTCCATCCTGCAGGTAGGATTATTGAAATTGTATGTTCTGTGCATTAGCGTCCAGTGGTGGAAAGAGGAGTCACATCATTACCAAGTAGATTTTCTGAAGCATGCTTAGTTTCATTTCTTTATTATAGTACTCATTTAGAAGAGTGAAAGATTTATTACAGCAAGCCAGTTTTCACAATTAGCAACCCAAGGATTCAACAATAGTGCAAAACACAGCTTTCTCAAAATCTTGAACTTATAAAAAATATTGTGTATTTGAAGGTCTTTACTTATGGCCTGCCTTTGAAGCTTTTTGCTTCTGGTTCTCTGGAGGCTTTTCCCATGACCATATAGAATAGGAACTTTGAAAATGAAAAATAATTTTTTCAGATATATATATGTATTTTGTCATAATACATTTCAACAAAGTCTTTGACCATCCTGAAATTTTGAATAAAACTCAAGTACTGGCAAAACTTTGTATGAGAAACATGAAAACCCGCTGTAATAAATTCTGTGAATGTTAAATGTGTGGCATGAAAGGGCATATGGTAATTTTTCATGCATGAAAATTGTAAACCGATTTCATTATGTTATTCTGTGCTTATTTGTTACTCAGCAATTTGAAATAATAAAAAAAAAAATCTGAGTAAGGTAATAGTCTGTGGAAGAGAGTATGAGGTCATGTGTCTTTATGTTTAATGAAGAAAAAACTGCAAGAAAACATGCAGATGCTTTTTGGGAAAATACAGGTGTGCTACTGACACACACATATTTTCTCATGAGTGAAAGTTTAATAATTCTAAATTAGAAGAGTGAGAACTCTTACCTGTGAAAATACTGCCAGTCCATAACTGTGCTCACTAGTTTTAATTTTCCATGCACACTCAAATTACAGCCTAACCTTGCTACTGTGCCACTGATTCATTGTTAATCTTTCTTTCTTTCTGTTTTTTCAGGGGAAGATATTTATTTTCTTAAATATGTAATCACGTTTTAGGAAAAATACATATTCTGTCTTGTGTTCAGAATCACATCTTGTGATTATGGTTTTAGGTATCATATGCTTTTAATCACAGAATGGAAGCTTTATCTCTGAATGCTCTTTCATGTAGGAGGGTGTAATTGAATCCTTCAGTGGTGGTATGGCATTAGATGTTTAGTGTTCATTCTTCATGTGAATTTGTGCACAGTGAGCATGTTCCTCAGTCATTAACACTTCACTGTCCCAACCATTTTGCATTTTTTCTGGCAGAAATGTTGTAATCAATGAAAATCCCATTTGCCATGAAGGCAGGGAACCCTTTTGCTTCCCTGGCACCTCCTGCATTTGCCATCAATGTGAGTGAGAAAAGGGGAATAAGTGGCCAGGGCTGTAGAGTGGATTCAAGACACCAGCTGCTGAAGCACCCATGGATGGTAATTAGCAGCAAAGGCAGACTAGAGCAGCCTTTTGTACTTGCTGGTTTTTGTTTGAATCAAAAAGTCTTATTGAATTAATGGACTGATGGAAAAAAAGTCAAACCAACCTACTAAGCTTTTTAGGGTTTATCTAAGTTTTAATTTTACATTAGTAACCTTCAGTACTTTTAACTGCTTGAGGCTTTAGAGCTGCTTTGCTCATCCACCTGCAATTCAGCTGTACACCATACTTAGGACACAGGATTCAATTCACTAGCTTTAGCTCAGCAGGCAAAGAACAAAATCTTCAAAGTTGTACTTTGTATATACTACTCAAAAGCCTAAGTGACACAAACTCATAATTGTCAGCTTCTGTCAACACTTTACAGAATCAGTTCTTTTTGAGTAGTCTGAACAGAAGCTGTCACAGTGGTCTTTCTGAGAGTGCAACTTCTAGTTTAATTGGGCTTAAAAAGCCCAAGAGTAGAATCTAGAATAATTTAAATATTAGGACAAATAGCCTGGTCACAGGAATTAGACAGCAAGACTGGAGAGTAAAGGCTCCCCAAAACCCTAAATTGTGGGGACTAGCAGTACTAATTTTTTGCTCCCAAAGTGCTGATGATGGATTAAAATGTTCTGATATTTTTTTTAAACATAATGTTCTGTGACTTAGAAATCTGTCAAAGGAGCCTTGAGACATAGCCGGATTGTATTTTCTATTCATTATTCACAATAAATCTACTTGTCTAAGTAAAAGTCCTGGAAACTTATGTTTATGTTCTGGATGGTGAGAGAAACCAAGCCTATTTGTACTGCAGAGGATTTATTTTGAGCAAATTATGTAAATGCTTGATGAAAGTCAGGGAAACTTTTTGAGCTTCAGCCCAAATGCCAATTAAATGTCAAAACACCTCTGCATTTGATATATTTTAATGATATTTTCTTCTTCTGAATGTACACACCTTGACATGGCTAGCTCATTCTTTTCTTTTTGTCTGCTTCCTCTCAACAGCAGGAAGACTTTTGACAAGTGGTTTTTGAGATCTTAGAGACAGCAGATAGTCTTGATTTTTCAGAATGTAATATAGTGTCTTAAGTGATCACAGCGTGTGCATATTGTCAGTTAAATGTGCAGTAATACCTTGTGGAAATTGAAAAGTGATGGCTGTGGTGTGTTACCAGAGCCTCCAAGCAGAAACTGTTACCTCCAGTTTATGAATCATTCAACTTAAGATTGAACAAAGCAGCTTTTCCCCCTAAATGTTCACATACATTAAAATAATTAACTTCTTTTTTATATAGAAAATTATGTCAGTAAATGCAGCGATTTCAGGCACATTTCATTTGGAACATTAGGAAAGCAAAATTATTTTGTATTTTTAACTTCAGTATTTCTTTATCCATACTGTATATTATGGAGCATCAAAACTATGCTTATATGAATCAGGTAGTCAGTTTACCAACTTGACTGTGCAGACTCTGTGTCAGAACTGAATCACAAGTTTCCAAGTTAAAACTATCTGGAAGTGTTGTGTCTATAGTAATTTTAAATCAAAGAAAAAGATTTCAGTAATTTTTCTCTAGTATTACCTTGAGGCTTCAGAAGGAGCAGTCCCCAAAACAAATTGGTGGCTTAGTCATAGTTTTTTTCGTGACAGTGTTTACAAAGGAAAAATAAAAATGGGAATTTCAGGCCATTAACATTTGAATTTGCAACAGAACTTGTCATTGGGCTGTAAAACTGTCGTAACCTGTCTGGTGAAGTAAAGACTGAAATCGTCTCTGAATTAGAGCTTGTGCTTTTTATTGGTTTTTTACTTTTTCATAGCTGGAAGGGCACAATGTCTTCTCCAATCTGAGCTCCAGTGAATATGAGCAAGTACTTGAGATCATCCGGAAAGCCATCATCGCCACAGACCTTGCCCTGTATTTTGGAAACAGAAAACAACTTGAAGAGCTGCATCAGACAGGAGCATTAAACCTTAAGAACCAAACACACAGGTAAAGCAGCAAAACAGTAGTAGAGCTCTATGGCATTAGTCTAGAGAGAGAAATCTTACTAAAAAAAAAAAAATAATAATTACCTCTGAATGGTAATTTTCTTGCATATGTGATCCCTAAGACCCACAGTGTGTAAAATTACACATATGTAACAGTAATTGCCATTGCTTTATATTTGCGTTGACCTTACATGGTTGATGACTTCTTTATCTTAACTTAGGGGAAGTGCACTTTGTATTTATTGATTGATTATACTATGTGTTTGTGTATTTAATCTGGTATATTTGTCTGTTGGTACAGTTTTAATGACTGCCATCACACTGGCATGCAGGTTAGCAAGCTCTATGCTTTTTCAAATGGAATAGGCATTATTAACAAAGATGCAGGTGTCCTTAAGTGCCATCTCAACTTCTCCATTTGGTGAAAACAAGTGAATTTAAATTAAATTGCCAGTTTTCCTTATAAAACTTAGATTCACAAAACATAAATTCATGCTAAAAAATTGGTTAAATAGGAATTTTGTTTGTGTGTGTGAGCGCCTTATTCTAATAATGATGTTGTTCAGTTCCTGATGTTCAGTTACTCTGTGAATTAGATTCTTGGACTGTCAGGGTTTGAATTCATTCCAACCAAGCAAAGACAGCCTCTTGAGACGGATTCAGAAGTAGTCATTCCTCTTTTTAGGAGCTTTTTCCCCTCTCTCTTTAAAGAACAAAAGAAATGCAGCAATAAGATATACCATCTTTGTTTTTATAGACTTGTACTGTATATTCAGAGAATTATAGAGGGGCATGTGAGTGTTTTAACCGGCAGGCATCCTGTGCCCTTGTCTATGTATGTGATTGTGTAGAGGATGGTCAATGAACTCTGGTTGTAAACAATGTAGGGAATACAACAAGGGATACAGGTACAGAGCTTTTGCCGTTCCTTATCAAAGAATCAAACAAATGAGGGAGTAACAATAGATGAGAGAAAGTTCAGAGTGTGTATACATTGCTGCTGATCCAGCTGAGGAAGGGCAAATGATAGCTTTGCAGAGCAATCATTAATTCTTTATGAAACTTATAATTTAATGTTGTTTTATTCTGTTTTAGAGATAGAGTGATTGGCCTGATGATGACAGCTTGTGATCTGTGTTCTGTAACCAAGTTGTGGCCTGTTACAAGACTGACAGCCAATGATATATATGCAGAGTTTTGGGCTGAGGTATGTGTGATTCTTTTTGTTTACTCTCCTTATAAACAGAAGCATCCAGGAAGGAAAAACCCAACTATAAGTATTTTTCAATCAACATCTTGGTGTGCTTGTTTTAAAGAGAGTTCACTGGTGCATGTGTGTGTTCATTGCTTACTCTGAAGTTATTTAAAGAGCTGAGTTATCTAATTTTTTGGCAGTGTTTTTTCTGCCTGTTCAAGATAATGTAGAAAGTATGTCCTAACATAAAGTGATCAAACAACAGAATGTAGAAGAAGTCACTGACTGTAGTTTTTTGTAGAAATGCAAAATATGAAACCAGCTTTCGGGTCAGCTGCCTTGAAACATATTTATAAAGCTATAGTGTGAGTATAGAAAATGCTAAAGTAAATATGAAAAGCATTAAATTTTTTTTGAGTTTTCTTCGTGAGCCAGCTCTCAACAGCAGTGTCTCAGAGAGAGCTTCGTCTTCAATACATGGAAAGTTACTCTAAAATTAATGTGTACTGAGAATTGAATCAAGAAATTAAGCTGTAGTATGTAATCGTGTTCACAAATAAATATGCAGTCTCTCACATGTCATATTCTATCCTAATTGTTTAATTTTTAAGTGGAAGTGACTGCTCTGGGATAAGGAATAAATTGCATAGAGCAGAGTTATGCAACTTTAGAAGATACGGTTGTATTTTCAGGACTGCTATTGCAAGTGTTTTTCTTTTCTGTTATGTGCCCTGTGGAGCCTTGTAGTATTCAGTGGGCTTATTTCTGCTTTACACAGGCATGAAATAGAAATCAGGTCCATGGAGTTGATGTAGCATGCATTTTGTGTGGAGATTGTTACCTTGCCTGTTGCATGTTCATTATGAAATTCCAGATGTGTGCTTCTTGTTGGGTGTATTTCGTATTCACATATTCTTATTCTCTTGTAAACATCTCAGACTACAACAAAATATTTGAAAAATGCTGACTGTGTAAGCTCAAAATCTAGTTCAGCACTCACTTTCTGAAATGCCTGCACTGGAAAGTGAGTGTTCTTATGAGTGGCAGAATGGAGGTATAATATTGACACATGTCACTGATTACATGCTCAACTTATTTGCTTATAAATTTGCTTTTGAATGCAAATCTTGTGAGCTCAGTGGAGAAGGAAGGATGAAACTGATTTTCCATACTCAACAATAGTAAAGATGGAAATATGGATATAATTACATCTGTCCAGATGTTAATATTTTTTAAGCATGAGTTAATAAAGGTAGATGTTGATATATTGATATATATTGAAATGAGAAAATTTTTGACAAAGAGGGTACACTGTAAATGTATCTGCTTTACTCAGTATTTATTTAGATGGGTGAGTGGTGTTCTACTTGTTATTGTATTATGTGCTTTAAACAGATATTTTGAAAGATGAGACTAATTGAGCAGATAGAGTAGAATAGAATGATTTCTTTGGGTTTAGTCTTCCAGTTGCTTTTTATTATGGAGACACACTTGGAAATAAGGAAAATACATGACTTGCAGCATCTGCTGTTTACATTATCACTTAGGTGAATGTACAAAATGAGCCTCTCCTTGTGCATTTTTTTGAGATTGCCTTAGAGTGATACCACACATTATTTTAAATTCTGGATTTTTAGATTGACATAGAATAGAAGATGGAAATTAATTCAGGTCTCAGTAGTCTTGTTTCTGTTTTCCTAATCTCTCTCTCTCTACTTTTCTCAAGGGTGATGAAATGAAGAAAACAGGTATTCAGCCTATTCCTATGATGGACAGAGATAAGAAAGATGAAGTCCCTCAGGGTCAGGTATGAACTCTCTCAGTAAAATGGTACTTTTTAATACATAAAACATGTATGGAAAAAAGCATTTCATATATTAATGAATATTACTTTTGAAATTAAGTTATTCAGACTGCTTAATTTGATGTTATTTTTAAAAGTAGCAGTGCAAAACTTGTTTTCAAATTTTGGTTAAATGGCGTGTTCTTTGCTGTTATCGCTTTTTCCTTTCTTTGTACTTGTAGCTCTAGCTAAGACTGCAATCACCTTGAATTTTTACAGGTGTTAATAATGCTTTTTATCTTAGTAAGTGGTTGTTTCAGCCCTTAGTTTATGGTTGTTTCAGCCCTTAGCTAGTGTCCAAAGGAGGGTAAGAAAGATGGTGAAGGGCCTTGAGGGGAAGCCTCATGAGAGGCAGCTGAGGTCCCTTGGTCTGTTCAGCCTGGAGAAGAGAAGACTGAGGGAAGACCTCACTGCAGTTACAGCTTCCTCATGAGGGGAAGGGGGAGAGGATGGTCCAGCACTGATCTTTTCTCTGCAGCGACCAGTGACAGTATATAAGGGAGTGGCCTGAATTTGTGTCAGGGAGGTTTAGGCTGGATATTAGGAAAACATTCTGTTCCAGTGCCCAGGTGGCTGGGCACTGGAACAGCTCCCCAGGAAAGTTGTCACAGCACCAACCTGACAGAGTTCAAGAAATGTTTGGAGAATGCTCATGGTGTGACTCTTGGGGATGGGCCTATGCAGAGTTGGACTTGATGGTCCTTGAGGGTCCCTTCCAACTTACCATATTCTTTGATTCTGTGATTTTCATTGAACCAGAAGGTCTACAGGGTGACTTTATCTAATGTCCTATTTTAGTTTTCGACAATTACAGAGTAATCTTTTTCCACTGAAATAAAATAGTTCCCCTTAAAAACTAGCGAACAAGAAGAAAAGAAAAAATCCAAAACAAATGGGAAGAAAATGAGGCAGTATATGAAATAGTGTGGATGTGCAGACATCCCATCTGTCTATAGCCTTGCCTTCTAACCACCTGCAGTTTCCTTCTGTTGGTTGCACTGTAAGTACTTCATCCCTATAGGTACTTCATCTGGGTTCACAGCTCAGAAAATGTATCTTATTTTTATTTAAAGTACACAGAAGACTTGGTTACATAGCAGTATGGGATGAATCTTTGTGTTGATGAAAACAAGAGTTGCTCTTCAATTTCTGAATAAGGATCAAAATTTGGACTATTAAAAAAAGAGATATTATCAAATGCTTGGTCATGGTGCAATACATAGTATTTCATTAGCATTTATAAATTCTGCCCAAACGAGAGGATAGTTACTATTGTAACTGTCATAAGAGTCTGGGATAAGTGAGGGATGTTATAATGAATCTGAATGCAATCTGTCATCCTTGATAATATATATTCTAAAAATTTCATCATGACAATTCAGCTGTGACATCATAGTCATCACAGGCCACTAAGCCTCTATGAGTCAGATATCATTAAAAATGTGCTCATTTGGCTTTTTCCTAAATATGATAATGGTAAAGATGTATTATTGAACTGTGTACATGAGAAGCAATTGCAAACCAATCATTGATCACACTGCACACCATTCACAAATGTGCAAAGACCCTGGCATTTTAAGTACATTGAGCTATGCAGTGCATGCCCTGGAGAACATCAGAACAGTCCACAATCTGACCATATTCTGTGAATGCTACACAACCTTCCTTTTTTAAAAAATAAAATTGTCACATGAATCATGTTTCCAGAAATGTCTCTAACATCTCCACCTGCTTCCCACTGCTACTGACACCAAACAGGTATACATATCCTGAACAAAAGAAATGAATCAATTGAATAATAAAAGGTTCTGTAGAAAACCTTACCTGAGGCAGCCATATCAGTCATAAAAGAAAGGCATGTAAGCAGTTTGTAATTACCAAAGATTTCACTGTTGCTTCTTATTTTAAAGCATTTGGATGTTAAAGGAAGGTGCAGAAGTGTGAATAACAAATACAAGCAGTAATTAGGTAAAGAGCTTTGAGCTGTTAGCTTCCAGTATTGTAGTTTGGCAACAATTAAATTATATTTTTTTCATTCTTGTTTTTCATAGATTGGGTTCTACAATGCTGTAGCCATCCCATGTTACACCACCCTTGCACAGATCTTTCCTCCAACTGGGCCACTACTCCGAGCATGCAGGTGAGTAAATGTGCATAGCTGATTCCTTGGTCAAGGAAAAAGCAAGAGTGCTTTGCAAATTTGTCTGGAAATACAGATTTTTATTTTTAGAATTTGCATTAATATTAACAGGGATACACATCTCACATTAATCTATTCAGAAACCCAGAGGTGATAACTACTGTCAGGGACTATCCACTACAGACACAGCTGATTAAAATGTGTTAGATGCTAAAAGCATTTAGAGAGAAACAGTTCAGTGTTTGTGTATCTCTCTCTGTGCTGGCTCAGTGTAATTTCTTTCGTGCGCTTTATACTTCAGTGTGGTTCCCACAACAAAAATTGGCCCGTATTCTCTTTACTTAAAAAATGTGTGTTTAAAAAATGTGGTTTTATTTCATATCAGATAATTTCTATTAAAAACCAGAAAAATAAATATCCAGAAAAAATTCAGTAGTTGAGAGCATAGGAGTAGTAACACTGGGGTATGGATGAAGCAAATGTAATCTTCTCCTATAACACAGTGGGTATGGAGCTTGGGTTGTTCTGGAAAAGAGGCAAGAGTCCTTTACTTGTTGGCTGCTTCTCCACTTGAATGATGGCGCATTGCTTTCTAGGTAGTTCTGTCCAGTAATTATATCCTGGGCCTTAGCAATCTTTCCTGACAAAAATTTTGCTGAAACCAGTGAATACTTAATGAAAATCTTCTGGTTTCAGGTTAATCCGTATTTTCTAGAAAACCCCAGTTGTTTCATAAAATTCCAGTGGTTAAAGGTCTGTTTTTCTATGCTCTTATTAGTATTCTCTCACATTTTTTGTTTTGTTGTAGTCCCTAAATTCTATTTAACAATGAACTTTATCCTTTATGACCTCCTCTTGTGGATTTTGTGGACTAAATTATTTCTCTTAACTAACAGACAAATGCCTTGAAATTAATGTAGTAGTTAGCAAAACAATTTCATTCACACAAAAACACGCTTTCATATAGCTGTGAGAAGAATACGTAGGTCTGTCAGTGGTACAGAAGACTACCCTATGAGAACAGTGAGTATCTAGGAGCCATCATTAATAGTCAGCTCAGCTGCCTCTAAGGTACCTTTGCTGGGCATGGCTGTGCAACCTTTAGATGGATATGGCAGGACTGTTCAGGAGAATTAGAGATTATACCTCTGCAGTTTTTATATTAATGGGGCTACAGCTGGAATTTTGTTTAGTGTCTATGCTTTAAGAAGAGTACATAAAGACATGAACAAATGAGAGAATGTAAAGAGCTGAAGGAATGTTTTGAGATCTTAGTAGAGAGAGATTAAATAATGTATTTGGTTTATCCAAGAAAATTATAGAATCTAAACATTGTTTGGGTTGGAAGATCCCTTGGAAGAGATCATCTAGTTCAGTCTTCCCTCTGTGAGAATGGAATATTCTGCTAGAACAGGGCCCAGAGCTTCATCCAACCTGGCCTTGAACACTTCCAGGGATATGGCATCCACAGCTTCTCTGGGCAAGTTGTTCCAATGCCTCACCACCCTCACAGTAAAGACTTGATCAATATCAAGTTTTAATAAATCAAGTTTTAATGGAAACTGTCTGGTTGGCGGGCTTAAGATGGCTCAGTATCTTTTACAGGAGCAACCATCTGGGAAGACACGTATCTTTTGATTTCTGGCCATATGGATATCCCAATGAGGCTTATTTGCAAAAGTGGCCTGTTTCACTTGGTGGCTCATCTTTTAGAACTCAAATGAGGATATTTAAAGTTGAATTGTGGCTATCAAACACCCACATAAGCATGTGCTCTAGAAAAAGGTTCTCCCTAGTTCTGAAGATCAAGCATGAACATCTTTTCCAGAGCTGGTTTCTCTGTAGAAGGTGTGATGTCTGAAGTAAAAGCAACCAGACTCCTGGCAGAGATTATATGATTTTTTCTATTCCAGAAATTATGCTTGTTGTTTGTAATTCAAATTGTTATAATGATACTGCTGAATGCTACACTGGCACAGTCTCCACACAGTTCCCTGTCTTGCTGTTGTGTATTCTTTAATTTAGAATGTGCTAAAGCAGAACTAAAGGTAGCTGAGTAGATAAAGCCTCTGCAGGACTAAGGAGCTTCTAGAAAATCCACATCCTAAAAAAAAGTCTTCTGAGGAGCAGTTTGGTAGTTTTATCTTAGCCTTAAAAATATCCTCTGCTTTTTCATTGAAGAAAATGAAGAGGAAGTTTGAGGGTTAAGACTTGGAGATGGAGAGCAGGAAATCAGAACACAGATATAACTTCAGGTGCCCAGTTAGAAAAGATTGATGTTATTTCAGGGTCTAGAATATTCCAGAGTATTTTAAATGGCTGATTTTGCACTACACTTTTGTTTTTCCTTTATTTGTGATGCATAACTTTTTTGGTGTGATTAGAGGCATACAGCCTCATTTTTGTTTGGTGTTTGTTTAATTGCTGACTGAACCAATTTTGATAGCACCTCTTCACCAGCAGGGCTCATTCTTGAACACAATATTTAAGCTGCTATGTCCTTGAGTTCTTTGAAACTCGGGCACCAGCTGCAAATAATAGCAGCAAAAGCACACAAGGCAGCATGTCAGCATCAAGGCTGTTATTTTTAGAACCTCTGGGCATTTATTCCAGACATTAGGAGCCAGGGCTTCATTGGGAGCTCAAAGGCAAATGAATCATATTATCTATACCTTACAAAAAAAAAAAAAAAAAAAAAAACAGAAATCCAACACTGGTTTTCCATAAAGTAAGGTAGCAGCTAACAGTCTAGAAGGTTTTTTTGTCTGGTAATTTATTCCACATTTTTAAATGGTTTCTTGTCATCTTCTGTAGATTAAAACTATTAGCCAACCTGTGTTACATGTACTCAGTAGGTCTACCAAAGTATAAATATATGGTAGTGTATTTATTTGGAGGATGAAATGATTTTTTTTTTTCCTTTATTTCAGACCAAGTAATTTAAAACTATTTTCCTTGTGCTTTTGGGTCTCTCAATTCTTAATGAAATTTATATGATTTAAAATTATTTTGGCTGGAATTCTCATTACTTTCCCAGGTCCAGGAAGGAGACAGAAATAGTGATGCTTCCCTTTTCGTATCCTTAGTACCTGATTGTATTAGCTGAGGCTCAATACCTTACTAATGATGGCTTCATAACTTACAGCTGGCCTGAAGCACTGGCAGAGCATTTTCCTACAGAAATTGGTGTAGCTGTTACCCTAGAGGGCACCAGCCTTCTTTGGTAGACTTCATCAGATTCTGCTTTCCACCACCCTCAGGAAATGCAACATTTCTCTTCTTACCTGTACGCTGTGCTTTCAGATCAATATTTGCTGGTTTAGCAAATGTTTTGACAAGGCTATGACATAAGAATCAGAAGAGCTCTGCTGTGCAAATTCCAATGTAATATCATGGTATAACATACCATGGGAGACCTTTCAGTACTGTTGCCATCCTGTTTGTTTACCAAAGGCATCTAAGAACTGTTGGGTTTGCTCTCTTTCTCTGTGTTTGAAAACTGAATGCTGAGATTTGGCTGTTGGTTGCAAGGCCTATCATCAACACAGATTTCCCAATCACTAGAGTTGTGTACAGCAAGTAAGGCTATGGGTTTGTACCTTCTTCAGATCATTAGAATATTACCAGCTTGATTTCTCATCATTTTATGGCTTATGAACAGAACTTTGAACTTAAGGTTTGGCCAGGGTGTGAGGCACTAAAAGACATTTATGTTTCAAGGAAGGGGTACCCATTAAATGTAGTAGACTGATAATATTATTACCACAATAGTATTTGAAAATTGATGCTATAATCCTGGCATGCAACATTTTATATCCGGTAAGGCAGCCCTTTTGCAGGAGTTTCAGAAAGCTTAATCTGCTCCTGTGTTCCAGAGTGCTGTTTCAGAGTCTCTGCAGTCATGTCTCTCTGGGGTCACAGCTGGGCTTTCCTGCAGCCATGAGGGCTATAAATTTGTTGTGGAAGCAGGTGGTAGCCTCTAGCTTCAGGGCTTGCCTTGGGGAAGGAAGGTGTACTCTAGGCTAGGATAGAGTTGACATGGATATGAGTTATAAAGAATTACAAAATGGGATAACTGAAGCTGAAGGCTGAAATAATGTGTAGATGATAAAAGCTTGATGACATATAGGTACTAATATAAATAGACTTACGTAAATATAGATTTCAAAGTATAGTACAGCAGACATTATTGTGAGGAAGAAATAAATCCCCATCAACTTATGAACAGTGTCTTACCTTCAATTTTTTGCATCTCCAGGGACAATCTTAACCAATGGGAGAAAGTAACGAGAGGTGAGGAAGCCTCTATATGGATTTCTTCTCAATCCCATGCTCCTGGGACCTCAGATTCTCTTCCTGTGAAGATTGATGACTGAACAGCAGCAACATATTGCTTTAACCTGAAAAGCACCCCTTCTTGTTTTGGGGATTGTTTTTTGTTTTCTTTCATTTTTATTTGAAAAAGAGAAAAAGGAAAAAGGAAAGCTGTAAAATGTTAAGAAGTAGACCTGCCTAGGAAGGTAACACCTATGGAGTTACCTCAGCAAAATTATTCTGGCAGCCAATCTCCTGACCTACACCAGTGACACAACGTAAATAGAGGGAAAATGACAACCCAGATGTTTTGGAGTCAGCTATCAGAAGAGAACTTACAACTTGTGAATATAAAAGACTGGCCTTATCTCATGGGCTACATTGCTGAGGCCTTAATTTAAAACTGATGGGGGTGGGGGGGAATCTTATGGGGTACTTCTAAATTGTATCTTTCTAGTAAGGGTTTCAATGGTACTTTTATTATACAGTACTGTGGCTGGCTTTAACACCAGTGTCACTTGGGAGTTCTTGGCTATAAATAGAACAATATACCCATTGCTATTGTGAATGTTTATGTGTGATCTACTTGTAATCAGTTTGAACTCCAGCACAATCCTTGGAGATTATAATTTATGCTTAGGTTACAGTGAATTCTCTTGCTACAAACTAAAGGAAAACCAACATTCAGGTTAAAGTTTTAAAGTACTTCATTAAGCATCATGATGCCAATTGTCTGTCACTCACAAGGGAAATGTTGATAGAACTAGTGATGGTGCTTTGTTCCTTAGGATGTTTTTTAAAACTAGACGACTCCTCCCTTAAAACACTGGAAGTACTTGTTAATTATCTCTGATATGAGAGGGAATTTCAGGTTGGAGTTTTTGTATCCATAGTGACAGAAATATTGGATAAAATTGAAATGTGACAGCAAAGATTTCCTTGCCTAGCTCACAATTAAGTAAAGTCATCATTTTAATTTCTACCTGCTGAGCTGTATTTTCAAAGGTATTGGAGACATACCTGAAGTATGCTATCTGCTGGGAACAAAAGCCTCATCAGAAAAGTCAGGTCTGATAAGAGGGATTGTGGTACCATCACAATAAATCAAAAATGTTTTTTGTATTGACTAGCTTTTGTGTTGCACAGTAACACTGCATGTCTTCTACTGCTTTTTCCCCCCATCCCAAGATGAGTGAAATTAGGAAACTTCTCCATTTTTCTGTTTTTTCCCCCTAGTTAGAGAAATTTCCAGGTTTAGAAATGCCTTTCTTAGTGAAAGAATAGCTGACTGAAGAAAAGTACACTAAATTATGTGTTTACAGTCCTGTGCTGACTTAGGCCTCGGCCTTACAAACTTATGCACAGACTTACATGTAATGCCACTCTTTTAAATTTAGTGCAATTGTACAGAATATGTTTCACAACACTTAATTTGCCTTCATCTTTCTCTTAAAAATGAGAAAAAAAATCTTCATAGTGATCCACACAGTAGATGAAAACAGAGTCTTTGCATACCTTTCACAAACAGCCTATACTGCATTATGTGCTTGTTCACAGATAATGCACTCTTGTGGAGGTTCCGTGATAACATGGCCATTGTGTAATTGCAACTAGTAACAGTAGTGACCTAAAGAAAGAACACAGGTTCTCTTTTTCCATCTCCTGTCTTTTGGGCTCTATTGCTCTAATAGGCATGCCAGCTTTTGGGTTTCATGTGAACAACTTGGCCTCTTGAGTTTTGCCTTCTGTTATGGTCGAGCACATGTCAGTATCTGTTTATGTGTACAGTGCGTGATTGTAGTCGCATAATGTATAAATGCACCTAAGCCTTTGCTGTACATTGAGATCCCACAGGCTGAGAATTCAGTATGAAGTTATCTTATTTGTATGATGCATGTTACCTAGCAACAGCCTCATTTTTTTTTTTTTTTTTTTTTGGTTTGCCTTACCAATTCTAAGTGCAGAATTTTTTTGGTACTCACAGCAAACTGGTTGGAATTGAAAAAGAGCAAAAACAAAAACAAAAAAAAAAAAAGGAAAACATGGCAGGAAACAATTACAGCAAAGTAGAATGGATGATATCTCATGCTGTGTCCTCTACTTTCCTCCTTAGCCATTCCGTTTCAGCTAAATAATGCAGATGCAACCTTTCGCCCACTAAGTACTTGAGACAGAATCCACAGTTCCTAATTTACATGGAAATTATCTAAATCTGTGGTGACTACAAAAATGCTGTTTGGAATTCAGGTATCCCAACAACTGGATGGAATGTTTTTCTTCGCAGGTTAAGTATATTTGCATTAAATATATTGCTGTTATTTTCCCTTTTTCCCCCTTTCCATATAAAAATGCTGATCTTAAAAGCATTGCAAAAGTATTCCTTATCACACTCTGTGTGTATGGAAAGCTTTTCACTCATCTTTTACTCACTGACAATAAAGATAACTTCACTAGTTCTGTTTCCTACCATTAAAAATGCTTGGCAGTATCACACACTATGTTACGTTTTGAAGTTTGTAAGTACTGAGAGAATGCATGTTTCCCTGGCAAATTTGACAAATTTGCAATAAGTTGTTCTATTAATGTCTCAAGTGAATCAGTTACTGTTTCTATTATAAAACTACGCAAACCACTTAAAATATGTTTGCTGTAGTATAATGTCTATTACAATTTTAAAAAATTGGCTCCAGTGGCTGTGATTTGTTTTGATTTCCTGGTGTGTAAAAAGAGGAAGGTAATGACAAAATATTACTCCTTGTATTACTCCAAAATATTTTTTTGGACCTAGACCAAAAAAATAGTCATGATGAGCTGTTTTTTTAAAGCAAATGTAGTCTGTCTTAGCATTTACAGAGCAGAGGCTCATATGTGTAAATATTTTGAAAAAAAAAAAGACTTGTACCTGCACTTTCAAACCCACCAAAAGTAAGAACTTTGGAGCTGCATTTGAATTTCATGGATCAAAGACATGTTGAGATTTAGTTGGTCAAAGTTCTGGACTCAAACTCTCAATTGATTAAGACATCTAGGTTTGTAAGACATCTGACTCATTAACTTAAATTGTCAAAAGTCATTCCTCCTTGCATTTTTAGCTTACTAAAACTCATCTTGCCCAAAAGAATGTATAAAAAGCTTAACAGATCTTTCCTTTCCTAGAAGTGTTAGATTTTATATTCTTAGAATTGTGTTTTTCTTGATAATACTTCTAGTTGCTTTTCCCTCCTACGCCTAGTGAAGGTAAAAACACTGTTTGAAGCAGTGTTTCTAGTGAACAGCGTTTCTAGTGTATTATGAAAAGGTGCCTGAAAGTTATGCACTAAGTGAGAAAAATAGTTGACATAGCATGTTACTCATCTGAGATGTTGCATATTTTACTACAGCATGACAAATTCCATTGTTACAATTAATTTATGAATTTTGGATGCTTTTGCAATATTCTACTGTAATGGTTCAACTCATGGCAGTATTTTTTTTTTCTACGAGTAACCATTAGAGAAATTAAACAGGGTTTCTATTAGCTGGAGTATATGATCAAGCATATTAAATTTGAGGGGACATGCAGAGCAGAATTCATCTTTTTATGTGGCAGATTTTTTTTTCCTGTCTATAAACTTGAAACTGTGATCAGTTTGCTGTGACTGCACTTGGAGCATATAGTGTTAAAATTGTAGGAGTAGCAAAAAGCACTATTCATGTTAAAAAATAGAGATTATTAGATGCTCAAATCAATCATGACCCTTTTGAAATAATGCATTTGCCTCAAACACTGTGATATTGGACCAGTTCTGTGAAGTGGAACAATTAATTTATTCATTCTAAATGCAGAAAAGGCTTTCTGCACACTCCTACAAAGAAGTCAATGTTCAAACTTTAGGTTCTATATCCCAGTCTAGCAAAGGCACATCATAACTTTTGTTTGCTTTCTGACCAAAAACTGTGCTCGATTGTAATACGGGTGTATACTCTGTCAAATAAACCTAAAATAACGGACTGCTTTCTAGGGTAGATCAAACTGATTTGTAGAGTAGTTTCATAAATATTCCAAATTCAGGTTGGGCTGTTATGTGGAGAAGAAAGAACTTCAAGGTAACAACATTACACTTTACTACATTTAGTGAGCTGAAAAATTTGTTTTATATATATATATATTTACACACACACACATATATATATATATGATACATATAAACTATCTTTGTAAAAAATATGCAAGTGCAATAATTTAAAGAGGTCTTAACTTTGCATTTATAAATTATAAATACTGTACATGGTGTGTAATTTTTTTCATGTATTCATTTGCAGTCTTTGTATTTAAAAACAAACCTAAACCTTTACTATTACGTTTGTACAATAGAACAGTAAGCATTTATTATGATATAGTTAAGTTGTAAATAAATTCACAAACCAAACAGCCAGTACATATGCATATATGGGTGTCCTATTGTGAAACCTGTTTTTGCTTTTACTGCTGGCTTTAGCACAGCAAGACAACTTCTGTGGATATGTAATTATACATATAAATATATGTATGATACATAAATATATTTAGAAATGTTCATAATTTTAATGGCTATATCTATACATATACTTTGGTGTGAATATTACTGAATACAGAGTTTTTTAATATTATTTTTCATGTTTATTTTTGCTATTATTGGGAGTACAAGTGAGGGATGGGAATGTGTGTGCATATATGTGTTTATACCACAAGTAAATCACAGCACAAAGTGATTCAAAACACAATGGAATCTTTTGACTAGGCAGTGCTTATTGTTCCCTGTGTTTGCAGTTTCCTGCTTAAGGTATGTTTTCCCAACATAAGACTTTTTTTCAATATAGTTTTATCACGTATTGCAGGTTCACGTTGTCACAAACTGCAAAGGCATCTCCTTTTCTGTTTGCCCTCCTGCTGCCAGAAGCTTACCTTGCTGTTAATGGACAACTTCCACATAGATCCTTGCTTTGACACTGTCTAATGTCAGTGCAGCTGTGACAGAATCATTTGCTACCTTTGGGAATTATTGAGATACTCAGATGCTGAATTGTAAAAAAAAAAAATATTCTGCACCCAAATTTGTAAGGTCTAGTCCAAAGCAATATAGGGCTCTAACAGCTTCCAGTATCCTGAAAATACAAGGTAGGTTCAGAGAGCTGTAAAGCAAAATTCTGAACAACACATTAAAAATTAAATTTAAAAATATCTGATAAAAGGGGAGAGAAAGAAATCTGTGTATTTCTCCACTTACTATATACTCTTGTGACCAGTCCTTCCGGAAAGCTCTGTTTGCTGAAAGGATCAGCTTTTGTAATGAGAGAAAAACTGCACAGACATTTAATGATTGTTTTTTAGAGTTTGTTCATTAAATTTAAAACTTTCTGAATTCTTTTGAGGGAAAGGCAATAGAAGAGGAATGTTTCTCTAAATATGATTAGTATTTTCTACAATTAATTAGTACTTTTAATGACTTTCTGGACAAGATTTTAAAATTGGTGGCAGTCAATCACATGCCTTTTCAAATTTTTCTGCTTGTTGTGCAGACTTAGCTCTTGTAGCACAGCATGGTGCTTTGCTGTTGATGGTCACTGTCCATTTGGTGTGCTTTCCTTAGCATTTTTAGCCCTTTGTTGTTGAAGAACGTCATCAGAAAAGTACAAAAATCAAGCCTGGCTATATTCCCTTTTAGATAATGGAAAATATAAATGTAAAAGCACCTTAATTTAATCTTATTGATATTTGTTGAGGAAATGAGTATTGCTGTTGGTCTTGAGGAAGTTTGAATTTGTCTTATTTGGAAGTATTGAAGAGCTCTAGGACAGAAATATCAATGGATTTCACCTGCTCAACAAGTATTGGAGATTACTTTGTTGTACTTATTTTGCTGATGACAATTACTAAGGGTGAAACTCCCTTTCCTTAATCCATAGTCTGTCTTCCTGAGGTTAGGGAGAAAAGTTTTTTGCAGTGTGTTTCAGTAGCACTCTGGAAGAGCTACCTGTACCACAAGAGCTGCTTACAAAGATGATCTTTGTCTCTGGGTCAGGAATGGATTACAGAGAAATGCATCAGAAGGTAGCTCATGTGTGTATTATACCTGTTGTTTAAAAATCTAAAAGAAATGAGCAATGTGAGACTCAAGAAATATGAAAAAATTAATTGTAGCAAGTAAAGATTCTTTTTTTCCTTTTTCTTTTTTTTTTTTTTTTTTTTTTTTTTTTTTTTTTGTAACATTGCTGGCAGAACAGCTGGCATTAATAGTTTTTCTTTTTTACAGCATTGCAGTCCCTGTTAATACAGGTGAGAATGTTTGTAGTGTTCCTTCTGTTCCTTTAGTTGTATTTCTGCTTCTTTTAGAAACACCATCAGTTGTTAATAAGTACTACTTAATTAGCCCATTGGAAATTAACAAAATGTTTGTAAAATAAAAAAAACAAACACAAAAGCAAATAAAATAAATAAAGAAAGAAAAGAAGATGGAAAACCATTTGGAAACACCTAAGAGAGTCAGAATCTGTCACAAGCCTCTGAAAATTTTACCATCAATGTAAGTAGCATTGTCAGTAGTAGTAGTTTTGATGAACAAGTTTATCATAAAGAATAGAAGTGGTATGATAGCTAATGTTAATTTCCAGCTAGTGAAGTCCAAGGTGTTTTCTGCTACTGTCTTATGAAAAGAGAAGCATATTCAATATCAGTAGGTAAAATAATGTATTTTACATCTTGAGACAAAAAGAAAGCCACCTTGATGAAAAAAATGTAATTTCTCGCATGAGTAGTGTGGGAAAAAGACTAGCAAATGTGCTTTTCTTCTGAACATGAAAATGTACTGATGGTGGAGAAGAATATTTTCAGTTCATTTGGAAAGACAATGGACATCTGTTGCAATGCTACTTATGGACTTGAAGGAACAAAATTGTTCTGTGACAGATTTCTATTATAGCCTTGTGCAATTGCTAAACACTGGATACTTTGGGCATTTTTTTAATTTATTTGAGCCTCTAAACTCTTTTGTGTGTTATGCATATTGGGAAATACTCCTGGCTATGTGCAGTTTAGAATTCAAAATATATGTAGAGAAAGATATTTACTTTCCTGTCAGGTGAGGACAAATATCACAGGGCTCTGATGCCCTGATGCTGTATGCTGCTGATGAGTACCTCCTTTTCCATTTTCTCTGGATGTGAGGGGAAGATTAAGAAATCACACTGAAAGCTTTCAAGTTTCCATATATGGCTGCATCTTTAACGTTTGAGCTGCTGCAGTGGCATATAATCTTAAAAAATTCAAAGTCCTATAAACAAACACTGTAGCAAATTTTGCTTTAAATTTTTACTGACTTCTATTTGAGTACCAATGGCAAATTGGTTTGGATACCATACCTGTGTAGTTCCTGTTCTGCAGCCATTTCACATGCCCTGTTGCAGGGCTGTGCTAAAAATAATTCTTTGGGTCCTTTGAACTATCCAATCAGCTCCAGTCATCTGACAACTTCCTATTTTCCTCCTTTTTACTTTCTGCTCTATTTGTGTTATGAATTTTATGGTAGAGCAATTTCTTTCTTTTTTTTTCCCCTTGAGGACTGTGCGAGTAGAACAGACTGGCATCTCTAGAGCCTCTTCTATCCTTTTAACTTCTATCAGCTGAATTTATTCCCAGTAATTGGAAATTAAATGTGTAAAGCTTTTCTGCAGGGCTGTGTTTCCAAAGTTTATGTAAAGTAGAGAACAGTGTCTACTGAAGACTGAGTTAATAGGCTGGAATTTGCAAAGATCTTTTCAGGAGTTTCTTCCTGCCCTGAGACAAATAATTTGCATCCAGTATTATATACCTGAAAGGCTTGGAATGAAATGAATGCTGTGCCATATTTGAGTAAGTTGAGGGCTGATGGGAAATGAAAGATGGGCTATGCATATAGGGAAGCCACCGGTCAGCCTAAATCAATGAGGCTGATCGGAAATTTCAGCTCCCTAGTCTTCCTGCAAAGTAAATTTTCCTGTGAATTGCATAAGGCCCTCATGCAAAATCACTATCGGCCTCATAGAAGCATCATGTAATGCTTATCAAGAGCTTTCTAAAATGCTTCAGATGGTGTCTTCATGTTGGCATAGATTAAATGAATGTATTTGGGAATCCTGGTACTTTCTTTTGAAGCTGAAGCTGTATTATGAACCTGCTTAGGAAGTGACAAGAAAGGACTACAGGGTGAATTCAAGATGGTTTTTCATTGACAAGACCTTGACACAAGCCTGTGTCATAGATGAAGTCTTTTGTGTATCTTGTTCCTTTTGCTGCTAGCTTTCAGTCACAGTAAAACAGAGTTCGCAGGATTTGCTTTGAGCTCCCATTTTATTTGATACCTAACTTCCATCTGACAAAACAGTTCTGACACACATATTCCCCAGGAATAATGATGCTATGGGAAATGCTATAGCAGACATTCACATGGTAAACAGGAAAGATTTTTTTTCACATTCTTTCAATTTGAACTTGTACCAAGAGAGGATCTTTGTCATCATTTTCAGCCAAGTCAGTCAATATAAAATGTACCATGGGAAAACTGGAGTGGAACAGTATTCCTTTTGCAGATGTGAGAAGGCTTTTTGTCAGGGACTCATCACTAACTCTTTTTCTGTGTTTTAGTAGCAACTCTGTATTTTAAACAAGAGAATCCAGTGACTGAGAATGCTATAATTTAATGTTTTATGCTGTTGCAGTCAAGGCTAATGTGGTTGACACAGCCTGGAATTGTCTTTTCTATGAATTTTACAGGGTAGGCTGACAGTTGTAACCCATTTTGTTTTCCTTCCATAAGAGATATTACTGCCATTTTTGTCCTGAATTGAGGAGAATACAGAAAACTTCAACGGAGAGAGAGGATGGGCTGGAACAGGCAGAATTCTTTTCCTTGCTAGAGCTTGTCTCTTCAAGTTTTCCTGCAGATAAACTGGTTGGGAACATCAGTTTCACTACTGTTACTTTCACCTTGAAAAAAAAAGTAAAATAAATAGACTATATTATGTGCTCTAATAATTTTAGAAATAATTAGAAACCAAATATGAACTGTGTAATTCTCCATAGTACAGTACAGGGTTAGTCCAAATTTTTCACGTGCTTTTTTATGTGCATGTCCATAAAAGCAACTATTTTTAAAATGCATGGTTTTCCCACAGCCTGTGTGCTTCTTCAGCACTATACCCATATTGCAATCATTATCTGTTTAAAACAGAAGTAACCCAGGAGAAAAATGTAACATGCTCTAATTTCTACATGCCAAGAAAGAATGAGAGGGAAATGCTTGTGAAAATTGCTCTAGAGAATGATATTAAAAAGCAAACAAACAAACAAACAAAAACACCAAAAAAACCCAACACTATTTTTACTCTGAGAACAGTTGCATTTAACTTGATAATAAACTGCCTGGATACTTCTGCTGGTTATATAGACTCAAAATAGCTACTGTGATCATTGGAAATAATAGAATCTCAACATTATGGCAGCAACAGGCTGAGAATATGCAGAAACATGCTTCCTAAATAAAGATGAAAAATAACTTGCAAAGACAAAACAATAATGTTTTAAAATGCTGAGAAATAATTTTTGAAGGATTTTTAGCATGTGGCCAATCCCCAGC